CGATGCGCGGGATTTATTTATATACATTATAAAAAAATCTACAAAAAAAAATATAAAAAGTGTAAAATGAATTTTACTATTTTTATTTATAATCCATCAGTAATGTAGGTATTTTGGAGTATATTTTACTATCCAAAATTTTACTATCCAAAAGTAAAAATAAATAGAGATAAATTGGAATTGATGATAATTGATTATCCAAAATTTCAGTGATAAAGATAAAGTTTATAACAACTTTTGAGATATTATTAAGAAAAGATTATATTTATTTGGGTAAATATGATATTACACAAATAAATGCATTGGTTTGAAATTCAAAAGATAACATTTAATTATAGTTAAATCCCATCCTTTTAGTAATAATTGAAGGCAAATTTTGTACCTTTTTTTCTTTTTTATTGGTGAAAAATACAGGGTCATGTTTTTGGGAGAAGATTTTAAAGATAACATTAATGTTGAATGATTGGTTTTTTTTTTTTTTTTGAATTGTAGTCTATTGATTTACATGATTGGGAGAGAGATTTTTTTTTAAAGAAATTAATTAAATGAGTCCAGTAGTAACTTTGGGGATTCTTTTGAGGAGAGAATAATTCTGGTGCATTAATGTTCATTAATCCCGACCATTAAATTTAATTAATTTTTATTTTCTTATTTTAAACTATAGTTTTAAATGCCATTTGATAAAACTTTATTTACATAAAATTTGAAGGACTATTAGTATAATTGTTGTAAATATTTTTTTGACTCAACCATTAGAAAAATGACACATAGGATTTTATCGTATGTGGCACCTTTAGAATTCTTTTTTGTTTTCTCTCTCTAATTTCTCTCTTAGTATAACTAGTGATGTCTGGTCGCACAATACGCGACTCTGGCCCAATATATCTGTAGATCTTAGAAATGTTTGTATCTAGAAAAAAAAATTATTTGGTCCGATATATTTTAGAAATATTTGAAGAATTTTAGAAATATTTTATAAGTGTGATGTTTGTATTTGGCAAAAAAATAAATTGTATTTGGCCTGATACATTTTAGAAATGTTTGAAGATTTTAGAAATATTTTACAAGTGTTATTTCTTAAATATAAATAAACTCGATCAAATATATGTCTTGAAGTAAATGTTAGACAAAATATAAAAGTATCCTAATAAGTTTAAATGTTAGTAAAATAATTTATTGATCCATTGGTTATGCTAAATCAATACTTAGTTTTGGAGATTTATAATAGCTTTGTAGTTAGCTTCCTCCAAAGGGTATACGCTTAATTGTTGGAACTATTTCTTCCAAAAGTTTATAGGTAGTAAAATATCAAAAATATGATTTTGAAACTGGTTAATTGTTGAAACTGGTTGATCACAAATATGAGAATGAAAATAATGTAAATTTGCATAGGTTTCAAGATATAGCAAAAAAGAAATCACCTCACCATGGCAAATAAAAAAAAAAAAAAGAGTAAAAGATAGCCCATTAAAATTTGAGAATTTTTATTTTTTTTCTGTAGGTAAAAATGATGTATAAAAACACAAATAAACGTAGAAACATCATTCCTTCCCTCTCCACCTCAAATTCATAAAAGGATTCCCCATAAATTAGTTAAAAGAAGCGACATGAACTATTTACATGATGAGAAACTAAAAAAAGTCTAAAAACCAAATCTAAAAAAATATATTCTTGAAACTCTGAACACAAAAAAAGAAACGAGCTTCATTTGTAAATAAAATAATAATAATAATAATTGGTCAACTGGGAGTATGAAAGAAAATCAAAAGCAATTAAACAAAGAAAAAACACACTTCATAATTGGCCATATACGAAAAAAACCTGAGACTCCATAATTAAAAAAAGAAAACCACTCTAATTGAATGAAACATAAAAAACAAATTTAAAAAACCACACTTTGTAACAAAAACCCAATCAATCAATTCAATCCAAATATAACTAAAATCATACAAAAATTCTAGGCTAACTAACCAAATAAGAAATCACATTATACTACCTGGCAACGGCTACGGTAGCTGTAACGGATGGACGCATAAAAATAGTAGTAATAACACTATTCTTGAACGGGAAAAATAAAAAATAATAAAAGCCAAACCAATGATATTTGGAAATAAAATCATTTAAATTTTAATACCTGTAATGGCACCACCACAACGGCCGAAGCAAGATCAATGAGAATTTTTTTTTTTTCCTTTGTATTTATATAGAGAAGTAAAGAGAATATTTTTGAAGTTGAAATTTTATCCGATTAAGATGTAGTTGATTATCACTAATGAAAAGATTGAACATACTAATAGGAAAGGAGTATATTTCACCACATATTCTCAATTGATGATTGATGAGGAAATTTTTTTTTTAATTGTGGAGAAGGGATTGATTAAGGAGTCGATTGTCGTGGAGATGGGGATGAGAATTTGGATTTTTTATGAACCCGTGGTTTTTTTTTTTTTTGACAAAAATAGTTGGTGGAAGTGAATTTAGACTGCATTTGCCTTTTAAATTTAGGAGATGTGGTAATAAAAATTTATTTTAAAAATATGATGTGGAAATGCCACATAGCAAATGATGGTGTTTTCTCTTAAGTGTGATTTTTGTTTCTAATATAGTAAGATATACTATAGATTGATTATGCTGTGATTTGAAAAGGTGCGTAAGGTTAGATTGTATCAGCTCAATCGTTTAGTTGATTAGATCGACTACTTTGTTGGTTAGCTCAACCATATGGTTATTTTTATTAAATATGAATGCCGCTTTTGGGGAAAGAAAATAACAAATTGCCTCCTTAACTTCAGGTCAACTTTAAAATACTAGAATCTTTTGGGCAGAAATTGGTGGGCAATAAGAAGCACAGTCAAAACTTAGAAATCTATCTACTGATTTATATATTACATAATATATAGTACACTATACAAAACACAATGCCACAATCATAAACCTTACAAAAGCCAATCTAAACCCCCAAAAAACCAAAACGATGCACACCAATTTATTATGGCACAATCTGACCAACTCCTCCATCTGCTAAGGAGGATATTGCTCATATATATGACCATTAGATTGATGATGAAAACACTCCCATCATGCATACTTTAAATCTATCAAAATTACTTATATACCTCCCACAGAATCATATTCAGTCTTCCATCACAGTAATTGATGTCCACGAACATTCATTCATTTCGAAGAAAAAAATGTGATGAAGTTGGTTTTTTTTTTTCTTCCCCTTTAATTACTGCGAAAACCATCCGTCATCCACCATGGTGGCAAAGCAATGGAGCACACTTTGCCCACTCAACAACTTTGTTGAAGCCCTTCTTTCTTCTGCTTCTGGAACCAGAAGTGTCCAGTTTTACATCGTTTTTCTTCAACATCTCCCATAGAATACGAACATCCTCGTACTCACAAGTTCTCACATCGTGTCGCAGCTTCACAATCCCTGCAGCACCTGAGCAATCATCATCTTTAAGCTTTACATATTATTAAAATATTTGATCTTAAAGACATTGGCAACGAAATAAAGTTCCAATCTTTTATGTCAATCACAGAAAATCAAAGTAGAAATTGTAACAACCATCAATCAATCCCAGAAAACCAGTAGTATTCAGGGAAATGAACAAACATCAATCTGCATATCAAAATCATATTCTCCGGCCAATTGGTTTTCAAAAGAGCATTAATCAATGATCATCAATCTTCCCACTACAAAGAAATCTATCCCAATTTTCACAGAAGAGGAAGAGGAAGAAGAACAATTGATCACCTTTCTTTTTGAACCGAAGACATTGAGCAACCTTGCCCCAAGCTCCTTTCATGGGAACCATCATTTTCTCCCACCACTCCATCCCTTAATAGTTTTCCCAATCGGCAAAAAGCTCCTAAATTCTTCTTCTTCCTTGGGATAAAAATCGCTTAGCTAAATGAGCACACAACGAAATTAATTAAAAAAACAACTTCATAAATCGTAATCCCCACAATTAAAGAAACCAAACCCATCAAAACAGAATCAGAGTTCCACAGAAATTTACCTGAGAAAACGGAAACTGATTCCTGAATCCTGATCCTGCCTCTCTCCGGCTCTCGCAGGAGAGGGTCTGGGGGAGGGAGAAAAAAAGAGAACAATAAAAAATTTCGGAATCTTATAACCTCTGTTTCTGTTTTCGTTAAATGGGTTTCAACATCATTTGGGGCTTTTATTGCCAAAGAATCATCAAATCAAACGTTGATGATCTGCTAAAATCTAGGAATGTGCTATATAACGTGGACACGTGCCCCTGATATTCCTTTTTTTCCTTTTTTGTGTCCGCATCCAATGTTTATGGTCCCGTTGATTACGACCTTTCAATTTTTCATTAAAATCTACCACCCGATTTTGGTCATCTGATTTTATTTGGTGGGTTTTGTTTCTTTAATTGGTTGAGCTTCTTTGAGGTGTCTGCTCCTCCAACCATGTGGGGATTCATCATTGTGACGTTTTGTGGGTCTCTCTTATAAAGATCATCTTTTTCCCTGCAGTTTGGAATATTTTTTTGATTCGATTTTTATAAAGTTGTAAATTGTAATCGAAAGCCATCCCATTTCTCTTTCTCTTTCGGCTCCTAGTATTTTGCATTAGCGTACAGCAATGATGATGAAGATTCTTTATTCTCAGGTCCCAAATTTCCATGTGTAATATTTGCAGTGGCCAATGGCCATGTATATGCACCAAATTTTTTTTTTTATCAGTTCAGTGTGATATTTTGTGTGACAGTTATAAAGAGTCATGTGACCAGTTTTTGTTACTTTTTTTTATGAACAAAAATATCTCTTTCGTGCTTCATATGTGTGCGGTCATCTGTGTTTTGAACATGTGACATGTTTTAGGATAACCCAAATGAAAATGAAGGCATTGGAAAGGTACAGCAATTAGGTGCTGAAAATCATTTTGAGACATAGCCTTATGTGCACATTCAAGCTGGTTTTTGAAGTCCATGAAATCTGCCGTCAATCAGGCCATCCTGAACCTTAAGGTGATAGAGCCTAACAGAACCTGCAAAGGCTGGCATTTCTATGGCAATTAGGAGGGACTTTCTGAAGGAATGAATAACAATAGCAATCTTCTTCCATTTGAAAAGAGAATTAAAGCGAAATTTCTAAATTCAAGCATCATTGGATTCCATGAGAAAGGCAAATCATCATTGAACAGAAAATTAGTCCTCTACGAAGCACCAAAAAAGACCTGATCCTGTTTCTTCAGGAAGATTCTATAAATGACAGAAATTGAACATCTAGAGATAGGGCATTCAACTAACAATTCTGAAAACGATCCTTTACGAAGCACAAAAAAAAAACCCTAATAATCCTGTTTCTTCAGGAACATTCCAAGAATGACAGAAAAAATTGAGTATCTCAGCCCCTTAAGATTGGGCATACTGCTAACAATTCCAACACTTCAAGTCTCTGAAGGCGTGTTTGTGCATCCTTGGATCCTAAGCTCTGCCGCATAGTTACCTGCACCTAGAAGCTAAAAACTGCTGTACTACTATGTATGAAAGAATCTCTTTTTTCGAAGATATGAAGCCAAAGACTGACCAATTCAAAAAAAAAAAAAAAGCCAAAGACTGTGAACTAATCAACTGCTTTCTCCAAGCTTGCCATGTATGTCAAATATATGGTCCATATATACGCAAATGAGCTATTCACCAATGGCTGCAGCAAATATGATACCATAACATCAGTTCCTCTAATCAGAAATGATAAAAAAATAAATACAAAAACAGTGAATAGAGAATCTTGTTTTGAGGAAATTGTAATGTTGTTTCTTGAAAAGCATATCCAAATTACAAGAAGTAGAAATAAGGGTGACAATGAAATTTGAAAAGAAAGAAGTAAACCTGTAAATGAACAGGGATGACTTTGTATGTCAAAAAATCGCATATTGGCCAGAACATAAGGCCATTTAACAACGTGGGGAGCAGATCTCGCTTCAGTCTGGCAGCAATTTGACCTGCATCTTCACCTGTAACAGGAATTACCATTGTGATAAATATGACAATCAAGGACAGCAAAGATATAGCACTGACATTAAAGTGTAACATAAGGATTTCTGAAAAAGCCGGTATTTTGATAATCTTTGACCTTCAGCTCAAGCACAAAGCATCAATCATCCTACACACTTCTTTCATCATCATTTGCAATAGCAAGTCCACTGAAACATCCTACAACTTCTTTCAGTGTCATTTGCATTCAAGTGTCATTTGCAACAGGGATGACTAGTTGACGATAGACAGCCAAACCAGCAGTGGCCTACCCAAAATTACAGCAACTTTACGGCAAGCAAACCTTTTCAAACTCAAAGATAGCACTATGGGCAGTAATTAAACGAGATAACTGGCTGGGCTTTATCACGGTGTGGATCGTTTATCATTTGGAAGAACAATGGCACACAATTCTGATGTTGGATAATCATGAAAGATTCTCTTTTCTTTTAGAAAACAAACAATGTCCAGCCCCAATTGGGAAAAACTTGTAAGTGATATTTGCAAGCAAGAAGCTTATCTTGTTAACATCTATCATATTCCACTCAGTATTTACTATAAGAGAACTGCAGCAGAAAGCTCCCTTCAGCAGGGACTTTCAAATCGCACGAGTATTGAAATTGTTTCAGGGAAAACAAGTTAACAGTACAAGAAAATTCTGTAGGCACCTTGTAAAGCAGCATTGAACGAGAAGAATACTGATGTAACAGCAGGTCCAAAAAGAAGCTGTCCAGCCACAAGTTTCTTCAATGTAGTCACTATATCACGTCTGGGGAGACTTCTACCAATAAAATTAAACCATACATGCTGTGACGGACCAAGAATAAGCAGTCCATAACTCGCCATCCGGGATGTCCTTATTAAGTCTAAAGAACCAGAAGGCGTCATTGTAATCATCTGGGAGTGAACACAACAAACATCACATTCCTATCCGTATTCAACCCGATGATAGTGCATAGCATTTCTAGACCATAGAATGATTGAAAGATACATAAAAATTGCTAAATTTTCCCCATTATTACAATAATCAAATGTTCAACTACTGAACTATATTAAATAAACAAGTCTAACAGCTAACTTGCATGCAAAATTAAGCATTTTCAACAACTGATTGTCCATTTATAACACTATGGGGCACTTCCTAAATTAGGGAAAAATAAAAATTTTTAACACACACAAAATAGTTAATAGTATGCCAAACCTGGGAAGTAACGTCAGCAGCTGCATAAATAATTGAACAAGAAATGGCTTTAGTGATAATTGGCCTTGAATTCAGCATGGCCAGATACCAAGCAAGAAACCCCATTCTCCGGCCGGCCGGTGGCGGTGTTGGTGAAGACGAATAGTACGATTTGTGAACAAACGACCACAGTGTTGAATTTTGATTCTGGGTTCGAGGAATCCTATACTGGGAAGTCTTGCATGGAGAAAAAATCTTACTAAAACTGGAGAAACATCGGTGATGATGTTGTTTCTGTCGGGAGTGCTGGATTAAGACCCGTTTAGCTAAATTTCTAGCAGCATCGTAATATTGGGTTAATCTCATCTTTGAATAAGAGTTGAAAGGATTGAGCTTCGTCTCCTATTGTTATGGAAGAAGGGGATAAAAGGGATTGAATTAGGATGGGGCCGGCGGTTCCTGGGGTTTCGTAGAGGAAGAGATTATCGGATCTGTCACGAAAGTTTGGCTAAAACAGTCCCAATGAAGAAGGTTTTTTGTGGCGGGAGTCGAGAAAAGGAAGGTTGGTGAATGGTGACTCCACCAAACGTCGACGTTTTAACGGGGTAAAATTGTGCAATTTGAATAGTTACAATTTCAGCATTCCAAAATGGAGCTGGTGGAGCCTTTTTTTTTCAAAAAAACATAAAACTGAAAGTAGGAAAAGTTACATGATGCCTGCCCCAACTACATGTTTAACTATTTTATTAAGATTTTCTACAAGATTTCTACTCACTTTCTCTTTATTACAGTACATTAATTTCCTTTTAAGTTCTAATTTGTCCTCCCTAAGATGTGATAAGAGTTGAAGACGACGAAATCTGAGTCCAGAGTAGCTATGGTGAAGTTATCCGTCTCGACTATACTGTGACAAAAACTTGCAATTTAAAATAACTATTATGTAGTATATGCAATTACTTAGGTGCTTAAGTAATAATACTTCGTGAATAATACTCCATGAATAACATGCTATAGTTTTTCTTTTTGTTATAATGGAGGCAAAAAGTACCAATTTACCTACAAAAATGAAAAAAAGGACACATAAGTTTTGTAATTCTATTTAGCTTTTAAATAGAAAAAGTCACTAGCTTGGAGATATTGTCATTTCCTTTGGGACGAAATTATGATTTACATAAAATTTGGGGACTAAAACGACAAATTTATTATACTTAGCATGTTCATTATCAACAGAAACCGGTAGCGACCCGACCCTAAGTTGTTCGGAAAAGTAGTACAGTTGCAACTCGCAACTCTAAATCGAAAACAAAATTGAATTTTATGACTCAATTCAAGCTGATCCAAATTTCTTCCTGCTATTTCAACATCTGCAGACGCTATTCCAGTCATCTTACAAACCCATTCTATAATCAACGATGGACCCTTCAATCATGAAACTCCTCGAAGAAGACGAGGTAAAAACGCTAACTTTGCAGCTCGTTTAGTTGACAAAATGGTGTTTTCCTTTTTTTTTTTTTTGGGGATGTTGAAGATTTGAGTTTGATGTTGAACTTGAATTTCAGGATGAGACGATGCATTCTGGGGCTGATGTGGAGGCTTTCACGGCTGCCCTAAACCGGGATATTGAAGGGGATACTTCTACACCTCAGCCCTCTGATTCTGACAGCAGTATGATATTCTTCCTTACTTATATGTTTTTTCTTTATGGATTGTGAATATGAATCTTAAATTTGTAAAGCTCGTGTTTAAGAAAGATGTAATTTCTTCTTTAAGAAGTACGTTTTCATGAAGTGTGATGCAATGTGAACGTTATCATAAAGGTGCCAGCTTGGTTAGATTGAGGTTAAAAGAATACAGGTTTGTTTTTTATGATTTCTAACTGTTGAAAAATCCTTACTGCTTGGAGTCTCCATATAAATTGCTAGTTTATTGGAATTTCTGAACGAACACTAAAAGTAATTTGTTTCATTTGCGATTTAATGCGAGTATGTTCGCAATTTGGTTGAGTTATTAAATTAAGCGTTTCTGAAGATTCTGATTGAAAACCTTGTGTGTGTTATTGTATTTTTATCCATGCTGTTCGCACTTAGTTATGGTTTGGCTAGGGATGTATTATGAGAGATTATTTATCACAGTTTGTTTATGGGAAATGTAGCTGCATTGTCTCAAGGGAGTAGTCACACCCCCAATCAGTTTCTTCCGCAATGGCAAACTGCGAAACAGGATGAAATTTCCAATCCTCTGAGTCAGCAAGATCCCAATGGCGTTCAGAAAAATGAGCCATTATCAACTAAAACTGACCTACAGCAACAAGCAACGGCCCCGGAGAATCAGAAACAACCAGATATTTCCTTCAAGGAGGGCAACATCTTTTCGTTTCAGCAAAAACCATCGCAGGATGATTTCCATCAACCAACAAGTGAACAAAATGTGGCCCCAGTATCTCAACCAATTAAAATGCAGGATTTAGATAGTAGTAACCAAGGGCATGATCAGACTCAGAAGGCAGAGCATCAAGCTCAACTTGTTAGGTTAGAGACGGCAAATAGTCCGCAGGTTCCCTTGCCAGCGATGAGTAATCAACAGTCTTTGCCTGCCACAATGAGTAACCAACATGTTATGGCTCCTGGAACAAGTAATAGTCAGGCCATGGCTGCTGGTTCTGCTAGTCAACAAGTAACTGGTGCAGCGAATCGTGGAAAGCAAGTCCCTTTTGCCCTGTTGCTACCTGTCATACAGCCTCAACTAGATAAAGATCGACAAGTGCAGCTTAATAATCTGTACTCGAGATTAAGGGTGGGTTGTGGTGGTTTCTTCCTTTGTGAAACTTTATGAGCATGATGTTCATTGTCATAATCGTTTCTTTTTCTATTTCAGAGAAACGAAATCTCTAAGGATGGGTTTGTCCGGGTTATGAGAAATATAGTCGGGGACCCTATGCTTAAGAGTGCTGTTTTTAAACTGCAATCACAGGTGAGTGAGCAGCACTTTTTTCTGTGACCATTGGTACGCTTCAAAACTTAAAAAGTTCATATACAAGCTTGTTGGGAACATTGGGTTATGAACTCTTGTAAACAGAGTTAGTTTGTCACTCCAATCAGCCTTATTACCTGTTGCTGGATTTTGAGATGTCAGTTTTTCCAAATTTTAGGACTCTGGGTAATTTGGTGATTTTTCCCGCTCTGGAAGGTACTCTACTTTGAGTTTTTGAATCAAAATTAGTGACATTAATTAGGACTTAGCCTTAGCAACCTATTTGTAGTTGGAGATGTTTTACAGGAAATGCTCTGAGGTGTAATCTTATTTTCTTACATCAATTAAATTGCAACTTCTTTTGTTTGCTTTTTTCTGTGTTACTGTCCACATTCACTTTACTCGTACATGTTCAAGGTCCCTACTTTTCTGTTGGAAACCATAGGAGTCGTTTTCCTTATATTTTCCTACATCAAAGTATTTACTTTAAAGTTCTGGTTGATGCTGAATCAGGCTACTCGGAGTACGCAGAATGTGCCTGGTCAACCTCCATCACAGTCGCAGGTTGCAATGCAACAGCAAAATTTGCCAACGCAAGCTCCTGGTGCCTAAACTTCCCCTGGATCTCTGTTATTGATTTGACCTGGTCTCTCCGACTGATATAACTTGTGTTGATTGCTGCAGCTCAAATCATGAACGCTTCAAGCAATCAGATGCCTGATGGTCATTCAGTAAAATCAGGTGAGGTAGATCGCCTGCCAGATTCACATGAAGTGCAATTAAACCAACTATCTAATAATACTTTTGCTGTTAATCAAGATAGGGAGCATCCCACTTTTCCTGCACAGAGTCTTAATAAGCCGCAGCCCCAACCACAGGCACAGCACATGCAGTTCCCACATATGTCTTTTCCAGCATACGGAGCTACTGGAGGCATTCAGTATCGTCCATATTCTGCCATGAGTCCTAATATTTCTCAACCGCCTCTTAAACAGCAAGTTCATGATTCGCAAATGAGACCAGTTCCAGCTCATCAAGCTGTGAATACATCTCAATTAGGGTCAACTACACAAGCCATTAATATGGTGGGTATGCCAAAGTTTGACAGGCAGAATTCTTTCAATGACCAAAAGAGATTACCAAGTGGAACAATGAGTCCGATGACTAGCAATTCAGCACTGCCACAAAATTCAGTGCAGTGGCAAGCTCCTTCAACTAAAGAGCAGAAAAGTGGGCATGTTAAACAGGAACCACTTGATCAATCCAATGAGATATACAAATCACAATTTCCTGTTGCTCCAGGGTTGCCTTCCTTTCCTTCGGCACATGGTGATCAAGCAAAAGCCAAGGATGACTCTGAAATGCAGTCTGCTAGAGTGAGCTTCTCAAATCCTGCAAGTGTGTTGCCATCAAATTCAGTGTCATCCTCAATGGCAAATCAGATTGAACCCAGTAATATGGTAAGTTTTAATGATCAGTAAGCCCATCTAATAACTAATTTTCTCTGTTTCTGTTTTATTTTGAGATTGAGGATTTTTCTCATTTACCTTCTCTTCCCTTCTTCTATCTAGTTGGGTCCCTTTACTTTGCCATCATTTTTTTAGGATGCTGGTGTTCTTCATGGGATATAAGTCATGAAAGAATTCATGGGCTTCGTTCAAGTAAATTATAGGCTGGGTGTGGCTTCTCACTATTTACCTTGAAACCAAAGTAAACAGGTCTTGGTGTGTTAGTCTGCAAAATTGTCAACAAATGGATGTTTGGTTTTCTTTGTTGTATGTGAAGGAATATTTTCTTGTTGGTGTGTTACAACACCACAATGAAAGGTTTCTTGGAGGTTGAGTAGGGCACGAATGTAAACTGCGGCAACCAATGAATGCTTTATATCCACATTTGAAATAGATATGAAAAGAATGAAGTTCTGTCTGATTCTGTTAGCTTGGTGAATTGATAATGTAATTCTTTGATCTATATCTGCACATTTTGTGTGCGCAACTAATTTGGTTCTTTCAAATTCCTCATAGCTTGTCTTTTGGGATCAACTAGTAGTGTAGAATCTTCAATTCATTATCAGGATTTTATTCATGTGTTTTTCTTATTTTCCCCCTTTTCTGTCATTTCTCCCAGCTAAGCTCCAATGTTCCTCCTGCCACCCCTGCGACCCCTCCTGTTGGGCTTGGTGGCAATGCTAAGGCTCCTGCTAAAAAGCCTACAGTTGGCCAAAAGAAGCCGTTGGAAGCCCTCGGATCCTCGCCACCACCGTCAAGGTGATATAGCTGAGACTGATATATGGTCTTTCAATTGTTTTTCAAATGGTGAAGCAATCCTATTTCTTTTTGGGGTTGCATGTAGCAGTCCATTTCATCTTCAAAGCAATATTCCTTAGTAAGCTCTATAACAATTTTGTGGCATGTCTTTCAGCAAGAAGCAAAAGGTATCTGGGGCATTTCTGGATCAAAGTATTGAACAACTCAATGATGTCACTGCTGTCAGTGGTGTTAATCTCCGGGTAATGAATGAGCGAAACTGCTAAGCATTTTACTATGTTTACTTTCAGTAGACACCTTGTTGTTTCAGCTGAAAATTTCAGTATATTTATTAGAGTATGTCGCTGTATGAACTAGGAAGAAGAGGAACAACTATTTTCTGGCCCGAAGGAAGATAGTCGTGTATCTGAAGCTTCTCGACGTGTTGTGCAAGAAGAAGAAGATAGGTTAATCCTGGAGAAAGTTCCACTTCAGCAAAAACTGAAGGACATTGGTAAAATCCTTTTGTTTTGGTTGAGTTTAGTTCAAGCATTTTTTCTTGCAGAAACTCCAGCTAGAGGATTCTCCTCCTTTGTTACTGATTTTTATTTGTGGCAGTGTCAAAATGTGGTTTGAAGGGCATCAGTAGTGACGTGGAGCGTTGTTTATCTCTGGTGAGGTTAAATGGTAGGTTTATTTTGAGTGCATTCATATGTTTATTTTCTAACTAAGTGTTCTATTTTTAGTGTGTCGAAGAGAGAATGCGTGGGCTCATAGGTAACCTTATTAGATTGTCAAAGCAGGTTAGATGCAACGACTTCCCTTTTTATCTCTCAAATCTCGATAAGTAATCAATGAGATTAAAAAGATCTATCACTGCCATGGACTAAAATGCATTTTACAGAGGTTGGATGTTGAGAAGCCTAGACACAAAACTATTGTGACTTCAGATGTTCGCCACCAAATTATGCTTATAAATCGCAAAGCTCAGGATGAGTGGGAGAAGAAACAAGCCGAAGCAGAAAAGCTCCAAAAGCCGAATGAGGTTAACTATTTTTTTTTCATGATGATTGTCGTTATTTACTCTTATTCCTCTATTAGCACTGTGATCTTCCCTATAGGGTAGCTGAATCTATGGAAGTTTAGTTTTTTTGAATGTGTATTGCAGCCTGAGGGCAATCCTGGAGTTGATGGTGAGAAGGAGAAGGACGATGGTCGTGCAAAATCTGTGAAGGTACTGAAGTTCCTTCATTTGTAGATGTGCTTCATTTCATACACCACTCTTGCTTACTATAAGTTGCAGGTACCAAACAAGGAGGAAGATGACAAGATGCGGACAACAGCTGCAAATGTTGCTGCTCGAGCAGCTGTGGGAGGAGATGACATGCTGTCTAAGTGGCAACTGATGGCTGAGAAAAACAAGCAGAAACGTGCTGGAGGAGCTGATGCAGCACCTGGTTCAAAGCCTGTAAAAGATGTGGGCCGAAAGTTAAATTTGTCTAAAAGTTCAAGGGACAACCAGGAAGCAGAAAAAAGAGGCCAGTCAACTTCTAACCCCTCATCAGGTATCAGTTGGTCTTGACTACTCTGTTATCCGTGGTCTGATGACTTGCTTGTATGAAAACTATGAATGATAGTGGATAAAACTTAATTCCTGTTTGTTTCTTTGGGTTTCTGTCTGCACGGTATTGTTAGTCAATGGTTAATTCAGATGAATTATCATGTTGATGGGCCACCTCTAAACTAAGAATTACGGTGGCTGGCGTTGTCTCATGTATGTATTTGTATTTGTATTTGTACATTCATGAGTATAAGGTACAAGCCCTCAACCGCACTCACAGCATTAACCTATTTCTTCCTTGTGCTGAACTTTGCAGGAGCAAGTAAAAAGGGAAGAAATCAAGGTATTGATGTACAGCCTAAGGTGTCGCGAACCATCTCAGTTAAGGATGTGATTACCGCCTTAGAAAGAGAGCCTCAAATGTCAAAATCAACTCTTATTTATAAGTTGTATGAAAAGATAGGAAGTGAAGCGGCAACAGGACAACCTTGTTGAATGCATCACAAATTGATTATTGTTATATTTATAGATATGCGGAACGCCGTATTTTTTGTATCATCCTGTAATTCTGATATGATATCGGGAAGTTGCAATTTTTACTCCAAACTTACAACAGCGATGAGCTTTATTTTAGTCATTAATACCACCAAAGGATCGAGCACGAATCAGGTTTCAATAGAGAAGGAAGATATATTATAAACATACTTCACATATAGAGTTACAAATCCTAGATAACCACCAACGGTTTTCCGAAATACAATCTCAGCAGAACATCGAAACAGCTATCGTCAAACTCGCTAATGTTGATTCATTAAAGAGATAGTCGAAACCCATGCTTCGAAGTTGTTGCCAACTCTCAGATCATTTCTTCAGATGGGGAAAACAAGTGAAGAGATCAGCTTTAGGGTGCTTTGCTTCTGCATGCTCCCTACATTTCACCTCTGAGGTAGTACACATGAATGTCTGCATGCAAACCTTGCACTGCATCACCAGGAAACAAAAATAAAACATTAGGAAGCAATGCGAACAAACAAGAATTATCTACTAAAAATTAAAAAAAGCTTCCAAGTAGCAGGTTGGGTATATATCATACACACATATACCTAGAATAACAATGTCACCGACAGATAGAGATACAAGCAAATAAACTGGCTGTTTACGACTGCATATCTCAGACCAGGTGTGTATTTTCCTTGGCCAAAAAAGAACCATTTCCTAAATCTATAGACCTTGAGTACAACCATAAAAATAATTAAAGAAGTTTAAAAGCAGTTAAAAAAAATCCATGAAGCCTTTTCATGGTACTAGTTTTACAGTTATTACATAAATATGCATATATGCACAGTTGCATGAATAATATTGTTTCCAATTGCTTATCAGAGACTTCAAACACTGACCATCATCACTTGGTGTCACCACCATAATTCTTTTCAATTACAGAGTACGATTTGACAATCTCAGATTATTCCCCAAAAGGAAGTCCAAAGATCAGCTACCTTATTCCCTATATCTACTTCTGTAACCAGGTGTTCAACTACAAAAGCTTACTGTCAGCAAACGAAGTTACTGTTCAGGTCCAGGGATCAAGGCACACAATTTACATAAGATGGGCATAGAATACAATTTTCAAAAAAAATATCATTGACAAAAACTACCAAGTCACCGAGGATAACAAGCATGAAACAGATCTAGCACAATGACAGTGAGGGAGGTTGTATTGCTGGTTACCAAAAAAATAAACAATTGAGATTATAATTAAAAAAAATCCAGGCATTAACAATATTCATCCCCATTTACATAAGAAATCAAAGCTAAATAAATAAATAAAAAAAAAAAAACAATCTTCACAGCAATCAGATACTAAGCTACAACTTCTATTCTGGCCATTAAAATTCCTTAACCAAGTTCCAGAAACATAAGAGTTCAAATAATTATTGAACTTAAATCAAGCAGGTTCATAAAATTTCCAGCAATCATCCAGCAGGAGATCAATTATTAAACTATTTACAATCAAAACCAAAATTAAGCAGATCAGATCCGGGTAGACAACAATCCGATTACAGGACGAGGATACACAATAACTCAAAACTGAAATTCGGGAACAGACCTGAATAGTCATGGCCTTCTTGTTAGAATCCAGCTGACTACCTGCACAAATAAATCAAACCTCGTCACTCATCAAAACCCTAAATCCGATCATGCATAACAAAAATCAAGAAGATACTCGGGTAAGAAAACATAACCCAATTCCCGCATCTAATTTTTCCCCCAAAATTAAATTTCAGTTACGAAACAATTAAAGAAAGAAGGAGAGGGGAGAAACCTTTGCTGCCGGCTTTCATCTTCTCCAAGTTCTTCTCACGAGCCATCTTAGCTTTCTGGCCATTGCCGCCACCCATGGCTGCCGGGAATGATCTTCTCTCTTCTCTCTCTCTCAAGAGAATTTCCGCTCTCTAACCCTTCTCGGGGGAGTTTCTTTGGCCTTTTCCTACCTTCTACACTATTCTAAAGACTATAATAAAACGCGTATTTATATAGAAGGAACTGCGGAAAGAGAGAACTTTTACTCCCCGGCACATTAAAATATGTTAAATTATTTTATGGCCACTAAATTTTTATAATTGTGTGTTACTTCCGGTAATTAATTTTGTCCAGGTGGTTATTTTGATATTTTCCTCCTACTCGATTTTTTTTTTTTTTTGAAAAGGCTCCTACTCGATTAATTTCCACGAAACTTTAACCCGAAAAGGGTTTATCGGTGGCATAATATGTATGATTCCTGGCGAAATTAGAAGAGTCAAATTGAGGTTAAATTTAAAGTCACCTTCGACTTTCGAACCCTGGTTAGTTGGTTATATCATGATGTGGTTGGTATTTCATATGAATGTGCTGTAATATTTAATTTCACTACGTTACGCCTCTTTCATTGTACCAAAAAAAATTGAAGTTAAATTTATTAAAAAAAAAAACATTTTTGTTTACTTCATGGCAAATTTATAATTAAAAAAAAAAAGAATTTGCTTCACTTGATGATTAGAACACATTCAGGCTTTGTATTGTAGTTTAGTGTTATTTTTATCATTGAAAACGTTAAAAAAAAAAAAAAAAAAAAATTCAATAGTTACTTCTACTCTTGTTTCCTTCCCCCAAACTAGCTCTCAAAATAATCTTTACTTTTTGTTTGTCTCCTGTTTCTTCATGCGATCCGATGCATGATGAGCTTAATTCATTTGTTTTTTTTTTCCTTTTTTAATTAAGACCTTCATTTGTTTTTACAATCTAACTATTATACTGAGTATATATTTACACTCCTTATGTCATATTTTAATAAAATGCTCTTTTGTAATAACATTTTAGTTTGATAAAATAAACTATTGAAATGAGATTAAATCACTCTTACTCCAAGAGGAGGTCATGAGTTCAATCTCTTACTCCAACAAAAAGTAAGGGGTCACGCCTTGCCTATTGACACCTCTAGGGACTTGTTTAATCCACTGATGAACCTTGATTTCGCACCCCAGCATATCATCCCGCACTTGCATAAAGTGGTTTATCTCCCACTGTGGTTTGCAGGCTATTGCAGTAGGCATGAATTTACCATCTCTGGTGAAGTTCCAGCATTACCCAAAAAAAAAAAAAAACGATTAAACGATTTAAAAATAATCTAATAAGCAAAATTCTACAATCGGGTGAGTTGAATACTTCAGTCAACCATATAAGAGCCCAAGTTACTTCCTTCTAAGAAAGAAATCTCTAACTGTTACCCCAAAAAGAAAAAAGTAAAATAAAATTCTCTATTTGGTGTTCACTACCTTCATCAATTCTCTCAAGCAGGTGAAGGACTACAATTTGAAAGGTAACAATATCAAATTATATGGTTTGCTATTGGCAAATTTTTAAAAAAAAAACAAACAAACAAACAAAAAAACATTGGTTTATATAATTATTTATCCCTCGAACGCAGCCGTTACTTGTGTATAACGGAGATGCATAACTTTAGACGCCAAATAGGAAAGTTTTCCTTAAGATTGGGTAAGAAAATGAAAATTTAAAGTGAAGGCACTAAAATTGTAGAAAAAAAATATTATATAAATAAAAGTATGAAGCAGATTGACATTTTTCTCATTTTAATAAGTAGGATAGGATTGTTATATCTTTAGCTAAAAAATCCCATTTACTAAACTGTAATAATTCTTATTTAAGGATTGATATATGAACTCGGTTTCATCGTATAGGAGATGTACTTTGTGGTTTGTTTTAAGGGTTTCAAATCAACATGTGTCTAAATTAGATCTAATTAATCTGTAAGTTGAGTCAAGTCGTAACTAGAACGCGATATTGTTGGTGTTTCAGTGTCTTCAGTTTATACATATTTCGCTTTATCTTAATTTATACTTATATATATCTTTCATTGCAAAAATAAATCAAATGCTTTGGGGATGTAAAATTTGAAATATAAAAATAACTAAAATAAGTGTAGGAATTAGGTAACCAAAAGGAAAGTGTAGTTTGATTGTCAGAATGCACCAATTTGCTGCGGCACATTCCGTGTGGTCTGGTAGAATTGTCAAAACCCGTTTAACAATCTAAGTAGTAGTCCAAATCTCTGAGTAAAAGAAAAAAATAAGACGACGACGAAAAATAAAAGTATTCTAAGCCTCCAACTAAAATCATTTAAGGGACGAAACATTTGCAATAATGGTATATACTATGCTTCAGATTAAGAGACTGGCAACGAATTAATTTTGTCCCGTATTTAATAACATACAAAGTCGTATGAATAATGTATTTATTTGTTTACTTTGATTTTAGTTTTAATTTTACGATGAATAACTAAACAAAGTTGCATAATACTCCCTCTGGTCTTTATTATAAGACATTTTGATTTCGTCTTAGATTTAATCTAGGATGTCTTTTTAATTAGAAAAAAAAACTTTAAAAATATTTCATAGTAGAACGAAATCAAAATGCCTTATAATAAGAACCAGAGGGAGTCCATTCACAAATAAATGTCTCTGGAGAGATTTCACAAAGTTTAAGGAGACAATAATTATCTCGTTAAAATACTTTAATACCCTCATTTACTCTTAATACAATTGTAGTTTCAATAATATTTAGTTCTAATACAATTTTACATTAAATATCATTACAATTTTCAATATAAGGATAGTAGTATTAGAAAAAATTGACAAAATATGTCTTGATTTGTGAGAACGACATCTATTTTTTTAAATATTTAGTTTTTCTTCCAATGATATCTGTTTGTGAATGGAGGGAGTATGTGTATTTGTAATTTACTCAAAATCAGGTGGAAACAAATGAAGCTCCTCCTGGTGTTACGAAAAATTTGCAATTTAATTAGACAAATAAATAAATTAAGAATCTAAGATGGTGTTGCACAGTATCAACTGAATTAATTAATGGATTAAAAATTACTTGTTGGTGTCCCCTCTGATTGAATTGAATATGAGGATAAAGATTGTAATGAAGCTGGAGATAATGAGATAAACAATGGGTAGGAATGCATTTAGGAGTGGACTTTTGAAGTCTTGAAAAGGAAGATGATAAGTGATAACGAAGGGTGGGAATTGCATGGTCGGCCATGCATATTCTTTCCTTTTACTCTTTTTCGACTTCTAATTATAAGATGGTACTCTCCTCGTTTTAAAATAAGTATTGTTTAGACAATATTCGTTAGACACATAATTTAACAAGAATTAAATATCAATACATAAATTATTCAACCATTGCTAATCTACCTATCAAAACAAATAGATATACATTAATGTTGTACTTTAGGTTACTTTAAAGACAAATTATATATTGAAATGTGAGAATAATACTTATTTTTTAAATTTTTCTTATTTGATAAAAATATACTTAGTTTAGAATAAAAGGATTATATTTTGTATCGTACACTAATACTATTTTCAGGGTCGCACATTGGTTATATGGTTTGAAGACGAAGGTACAATCTGAACATATAGTAAAGAGGCTCGACTATTTTTGGATTGTAACTTCACTTCTCCCAAAATGTTTCATGGTAAAATTTCAAAAATTGATGTAAGCATACATTAATTTTGTAATCTTACCAAAACATAGTTTCACTCATTACCATCTCCTAAACCATTGTTGCTTGGTGATTAGGCAGTATCTTTTGAACTAATTTAAAATATTTTTAAAATGTAAACCAAAACAAAAAATGGAAAATGTTTTAGTATCATATATATGTATTTTATTGGGAGTATATTTAAACAGGTATTGGAGAATTAATTTTTCAAGACTTGGTATGGTCAAAGAGACCAAAAAAATTGGTTGTAAGTTGTAAGAAAACACAGCTGGAGGTCATTAGAATTGATTGCGAGCTCATTTTGTGGTAGACATTGAACAAGATTTGTCAAAATGTAAGCAGTGGTGGACCTATGCAAAAATATTCTATAGGATGATAGTATATCATGAAAAAATTGGCAAATTGCATCATCATTTTCGGTTTTTTGCTCTCTTTCTGATTTTTCTGGTAATGCCACTAAAGAAAGTAAAGAAACTAGAGAACCAGAAAATTCAAATCCGCTCTATCTCTATCTGAAGTGGAAGTTGGCAGGTAAACGCCATTAATTATAGAGTATATTCCAGTAATCCAGATACCCAAAATCAAAATGAAATACTACTACAAGAAAACCAAACGCGTGCGAAGTTGTTTCGTTTCGGTGAAAGAACTCTGTCTCAAAATTATTGTTTAGTTTGACATTTAATTTTTAGTACAATTTGAACTAAAAATGAAAATACAAACTGGACAATAATTATGGGACGGAGAGAGTACTTCTTTCGCGTTATTCTAATAGCCTATTTTGATGAATTAACACCAAAAAAAAAAATGTATTATTTAAAATGGGCCGCAAGAGAATACAGTTACTTCTGAATGAAGACTACAATTTTATTACTCCAAAAATGGTATTTCAACTGTTTAAGAATGATTATCCGGTTTTAAAATTTTCTTTTAATACAGTTTAAACTAACATTGAAAAAATCTAAATTAGACAATTATTTCGAGGCGAAAGTTTACGGATAAGGGTAGATTTTAATAAGAACTCGGAGAAGATGTAAAATACATCTTTTTTTCCAGACAAATATTAAAAATCACAAGTATCTTTTATCAAAATCTTGCATTGGAATGGTAGTGTATGCAGGAACGGAACTGAACTTTAGGATCTATTTCAAGATTTGAGGTGAGTTTGGGAATTGAGCAATGATCTAACGGTTAAGGTGGATGGTTTATGGGAAACAACTCAGGTTAGTTTTTCATTGAGATTATGGGAGAAGGGATTTATGATAGATTTAAGGGAAAGGACTAAGATACAAGTAGGTAAATCCAGGAAAAAAAAAATGAAAAAAAGAGAGGTTAGTTTGGAACTCGATGTTTTCGTTAAGTTGGAAGTAGACAATAAGAGCACGTTATGTCAATAGTAAATGATACTCGCAAGAGCACCCCAATCATTGGTTTGGTTGTCCAAGGGATTTGATAACTTGACAGATAAATAATTAGCGTATTATATTTGTCCCGAAATTATTATCCGGTTTAGATTTTTATTTTTAGTATAAATTGCATCAAAACTGAAAATCCAAATTATATTATAATTTTGGGATAGAGGGAGTATTTATTATGAGATGAATGTTGTTACAAACTTATATAATAAAAGGTTTATAGGGCTTGTTGATGGTGTGAAGATGGATTCAGGATAATGTTAATAGAAGAAATATATCGAAATGATTTGTAATGTTGGATTTTCTTTTACCTTTAATTTTGCCGGGTATATTATATACTCAATTTCTGGAACTAGTGTTCCAATAATTAAGATCGATCGTTTCTATTTGTATTGGAGATTGAAGCATTGCAAGTTCATAACAGGACACACATAACCAAAACAAGCGATCCATCCCTCAACACAAAATCATCTCGGGGAGCACCAGAAATTAGAAAACACCATAATGGAAGAATTTAGGTCCATTGGGCTCTCAAAACCAAGCCTGAAATAAAGACTGCATCTCTGCGGTCGTTTTACCACCACAAATCAAGGCGATATTTGCCCAGTGGACCTAGATCAACCCAACGTAATCCATGAGCTTCCCTGAATTGATCCCCCTTCTCTGTGACAAATCCACGATCCAAATTCCGAAGCTATGAATTTATATCTATCTATTCAGTACAATACATTAGAGTGGGAAATGAACAATTCTTTTTTTTTTTTTTTAATTTTAAACAGAAATGAACGATTTAAATTTAACGAAAGGAGCATTTCGTTTTATGATGTCATACCCAACTTAGCTAGAATATTTTTTTGGTATTTTGTTTGGTAACCCAAGAAAAAAGAAAAAGAAAAAGAAATCACAAAATCACGTGTTTGATCTCCCGTTGCCACATAATTAATGTTTATTTATAGAAAGGAAGTTCGAAGAAGAAGACCCAAACAAGACAGGACGAAATTGGATAAGCCTACTAGCTACTGACGATGCACAAACGCATTTGTGTATATTTTTTAATTCCTACTAACTGCAATAATCACCCCAGAAAAAAAAAATCAATAAAAAAGCAGATAATGTTGATACTTTGATACTACTTCTTTTTAATTGTCAAAGAAGATTATCATCCAAATCCTTGCACACTTGCATTTTTTATTGTTTTTATTAGTAGTTATCGATCATCCTTAATAATGTACTAGATGAGAATAAGATTCACAAATATAACAACAACCCGAGCTAATTTTCCATTTTTTTTTTAATTTTATAAAAGGACTTCCATTGTTTGTTTTCTCCAATTATTTTTTTTTCCTTCTGGCTTTCTCTTCATTTTTATTAACGTATTTACCTTTTAAATACCCTTTTTTCAAATTCTTTTTTTTTATATATAAAAAATCTGAAATAACATTGTATTCGATCAGGACTTTCGTGTAAGTAGGCCATATATATTCTTGACAAAATTATGCATAAGAAAAATGACAATTGTCACATGGAGATGGAGACTCTTTGGAAACATGTTCCTAAAAACATTCGGACACGACCATACGATTAAGCATGTAAATTGCGTAATAGTGACAGATTGCCTACTTTGATTCTGTTTAGTAAGCATGAATAAAGCTAAAACGTACTAATCACTAGCTACCTAAGACTATAATAATTTTGATCTTTTCTGAAGAGCTTTTATTTTGTGTGCAAGTAAAGAAACGAGCCATAAGTTAATTAATCATATGGTTCATTAATTGTTCACCCAAAAGAAGTTTCATTAATTAGTAGAGAGCTAAGTACAATTTAAGAATTAAATATAGTTTCCTTTGAATACAATACAATAGTAGAATCTTATTCAAAAGCTAGCTTTTCAAGGAGATTTAATTAACATTTTAGTAATCCAAAGGTATTGTCATGTGTGAATGATAGAGTTTATGGAAAAATTAGGGTACAGTAAGATATTGTCATGTGTAAATAAAAGAAGAGAAAAAATAAATGATCATAAATCATCTTCCAAATTACCATTTTATTTTCACAAAATGATTATTTAATTTGGGATTTCATTCTAAAAAATATTTGCATTAAAATTAAATATTCAATTTAAATAGTTATTTCGAGACAAAAAGAGTATCTTGTCAACTTAAAAAGAATTTACATTTATATCTTCTGTCTTCCGAATTATGTCATATCATCTATGATCGATTTCACAGAGCATTTCAGCTAACTTTAATTACCCACCAACTACCACTGATCTATTACAAAAGGTATAGAATTTGAATGACATTACCAACCGATCGAACAACAAAAAGAAAACACATTTGCTTGCGGTTGATTAATCACTTGCATCAAAAGAAAAAGATCGATCAACATTGTTTAATGTACCTTGTGAAAAAGGACTTGCAAGGACAAGCAAGTAATCATCACGTACAACAAATGTCACTATTCATGGCTAAGCAATAAGCATAGCATTCAACTTTATGGGTTTGCCACAAATTTTTGAGCAACAAAGGGATAAAGTCGTCAATATACAAAAAAAAACAAAAAGTAATTACGTGGAATTTAGATCAAAAGGACGAGGAAATTAAAAGGGGGTGGTGGGTAAGCTTGAAGAAGGGGTCACTCACCTTGATATTTAATCACCCCATTAATTGGACGTTTATTCACTTTTTCGTCTACAAACAGCCAATCAATATCCACAAACCTTGGCCCATCCCCATAGAAGAATAATAATAACATAGAAAAGAAGAGTTAGCGTAAAAACAGAATATGCTTTTGCTCTTTTTGGTACATATCCCTTTGAGCTTTGATGACTAGTCCCGTCCCATAAAAAATTTCGGTCCTATTCCCTGCTGGATTCTCTGAAGTAGTCCAATTATTCATCCACAATTACAATTCCAATTTCTTTCTCAATTGTTTTCTTTGTTTTGGTTTACGAATTTGCGTTTTTCTTGGTGGCCTTTACATTAACTTTCTTGGTTGCCAATATTAATAGTCTTCACAGCTACGTTTTTCTTTCTGGGTTTTTTTTGTTTTGGTTCAACTTTTGTGAAGCTGAAGATGGGATTGCTTGTTTGGCTTCTGGGTTTATGTTCTAAGTTATTAGCGGTCGTTTTATGCCTACTTGTGATCCTTATTATTGTAACCCTGGATGCTGCTGCTGATGCTAGTACTTCGAAAACGGAGAATCCTGATAGGAAGAAGAAGAAGTTGGACGGTAAAGGGTCATCAAAAAAGGGTGGTGCGGCAAAAGGGACCAGAAAGAAAAACAGGGTCGAATTTATGGATGATGCTGTGGTGGTAAGAAAAAGTAATGACGTTAATGTTTTGGCGGAGAAATTCGTTGAGGATGTTGAATTATGTCAGGGTATGTCTGAAAAGGATGGGGAAGAAGATGACTGCAAATTAATGGAGGATGTAGGTGATGTTGTGGTGGTCCGAAGCGTTAATAATCCCCTTGATGATGATTCTGAAAAACCCTCTGATGCTTTTGACTCTTTCGGAGAAATTGCTATTAAAGATGGGTATGTTGATCAGTGTCTGGAGGAAGGATTAGAAAAAATACAAGTCCCAATATATGACCTAGGTGAGGTAAATGTGACGAAGGATGTAGAAAGAACTGATGGATCAAAAGATATTGGAACACCAGCGGCTGAGGCAGAGGTAGCTGCGGAAAACAGTGAAGTTGTTGTTGATTGTAATGTTAAAGTTAGGGATGCGGTCACCAGTTGCTTAGAAGGGTTCCCTGTTGAACAGGGTATGAATATTGACATGTTAGGTAGTGAGGATAGCTTAGAATCCATGAATGATAATGACAGGGCTGCTGGTAAAAGAGTGGTCAGTAATGCTGAATCTTTAGAAAAAGAGGTGCAGGTGAAATATTTGGATGACAAGAATAGGGTAGAATTAACTAGAGAAGATGTTGCAATTGATGACATGGATGCTGGAATGACAAGGAGAGTGGCCAATGGTCCCGAACTACTGGATGCAGAGTTGGGGATGCATACTGTTCTTGATGAAGATAAGGTGTTATTGACGAATGATGATATTGTGACTGACGAAAGAGTTAGGGTAGTTGGAAAAATAATTGCTGACAATGGTGAAAGTTTGGAAGGAGAGTTGGATGGGGAGGCAATTGAAGGTCAGAAAGGGATAACAATCAATAACGTGGTAGCAACTGCTGAAAGTGATGCTGCTGCTGGAGGAATTGCTGCTGGAAAATCTGAATTTTCAGAAGAAGAATTGGAAAGGGATCCTGTTGAGGAAAAGAGTGACAAGTTTTCTGGTCAAGAAGAGGACAAGTATCCTTTACGGACTAGTGAGTTGGAGAATTTGGTTGTTGAAGAGGTAAGAAAGTATGAGGCAGCTTGCAATTGGACTAATGCCGAATCGGTAAGAAAGTATGATAATGGTGATCACGAAGATAGTGATGATGACGATTGGGAGGGAGTAGAGAGGAGTGAAATGGAGAAGGTTTTTGCTGAAGCTGTTAACTATGTGGAGAAGGAGTGGAAACTAAACAATAATTGGTCTGCTAATCCAAGGGGTAACATCCCAAAGCGCTTGTATGGGCTTCATAAGGTTGCTATTGAAGGACCATGTAATGTGCCTCCACCAATGGCTCTTAAGGTCACTGCTCGAGCTAAATGGTAAACATTATATTACAGATTGTGCATCTATTTTTCTTTACTGAAGAACCTATTATTCTATTACTGTTTTTGCTAGTTCAGTTAGGCTGGTTCAATGGATAAGTTGTTTAGTTCTATAGAAAAGGAAACACATATTAACATAACTACCTGTAGGGAATATAGTGGCTGGCAAGGAACACGTAAAGACAATTGTTGGATTTCCTGTGATAGACACTCTAAAATGAGAACTTCTATTTTCAACATTTTGGAACGCTTATTATGGCTTCTTAGACACAACTGAAGAAAATCATGAACCTGCTACTAGAGTTTGGTTGTCTCTTTACTTTTTATCTAGTTCAGGTTAGATGAACTATGTTAGTATTTGGGTTGAAGTGCAAATGAACATACACATATTCATGCTTAATATGCTCGGGACGGATTGGTTGTGTTTAAACTAAGTAGGGATACTATCATGTGTTATGAAATAGAGGGATGACTAAACGGAGCCTTAAGGAAAGAAAATATACAACTCTTAGGTGTAGTTTGATTGTAAGTTTCATAACAGAGCTGATTGATGTATCCGTGAGTGATGGAGGGTTAATTCAATTGTGCGTGCAGGAATGCATGGCAAAGTCTTGGTAACATGAGTCCAGAGGTTGCCATGGAAGAATACATCAAGATTCTGTCAGATGCTGATCCTGGATGGATGCTAGATTTAAATGCTGTGAGTTTTTCTTTACATATGAAAATTTGCAGTCATATCAAATGAAGGCTTCCAGCTAATATCTCTGACTTTAAGTTGCAGGAAGGTGATGTACGTAATTATTTAGAAGCTGGAGTAGAAGGTAGTCTGGATAACAGGCCAACCTCTTCCAAGGACTCTCAAACTAACTTTGAGTTCAGTTGAGTGAATCAAGGATTTTAACGTGTCTTCAATACATGTTTTCACGAAGCAAAAAGTGAACTCTGCTGTGGATGAGATTAGTTCAATAGAGTCCATAGAAAGATAACATAAGTTTTCTTTGCGCATGCTAACAGTTGTTTTCTTTCATATCTCAATTTACATTTTGCACCCTGCTGATACAGATTAGTACTTTTATTGTCTAAATAAGTGAAGCTTCTTCCACTAGTGATGGTCTCTATCAATTTGAGTCATTGAGCTGAGCAGGGCAGAGGCTTATATGAGAACTTTAATTAAGTAGGGTTTCAGGAGTTGGTCCTTGAAAACTGATTGTAGATCATTGTGATCAATCTTTTCAGCGTGAACTATCTTCTCTTTCCTGGTTAGGAATCAATGTGCTGGAGCAGTCTCGGTTAACATGAACCATTTTTACTGTTTCAATACCTATATTGTAAATGGCCTGACTTCATTAAGATCTAAGATTGTTATTAAAGTCATGTATTTAAATGGAAGGAAGATTACCTGCGCTAGTCTCTAGGTTGTTTTTGGCTGACTGCAACTAAATACTGATGGACCTGTCTATGCAGGCTGATGCCTGGTAGAAGAACCTAAGTTGGTAGATCGAAAAGTGTTTAAGATTCTCCTGCTATTACCCGAATTCGAATCTAAATGAAAGTAATTTCTTTCGTAAAGGACTGAATTAATCAGTAAACTGCAATTCGCCTCGAATCTCTAGACTAGTTACCATTATCCCTTAATCCCATCCTTCACTTGTTAGAAATTTTAACTGTGCGTTGATGCAGCTAACTTCAGCTCTACTTACAATGAAAATTACCTTTGATATTTCAGGTCTAAGATCGAGAAAGCTTGATTGACTGCATGGATTTGCAGCGGCCCTGCGGCAGGGTGTGTTGTCTATTTGTCTTTCCTCCTATGTACATAGTGCTTCAGTGTTGGGACTTGTTTGCCCCACCGATATAATTTATTTATCCCACGGCCTATCATGAATCAATGATTATGGTCTCAAAGTGGAATTAGTTCATATATGTAGGGAGAATATCATCAATTTATTAAGATATGAAATGGCTAATTCGCTTGTTCTTTGTCACTTATTCCATCTGTTTTGTAATTTGAACATTACCACAAAGTATGGCTCATTTCAATGCTTTATTACATCATTGCGGAAAATACGGAGCAGATGTTCATTAAGTCTGTAAGCTTTTATTGCATCATAATACAATGGGCTAAAAGAGTGAACTCTTGGCAGATTCATAAGAGTACTCAGATTGCTGTAACATGAACATTTTTACCAGCAGTAAAACATTACAGCACTTATTCAGAAGCTTAATAGTTGGAAGAAGATTATACTACATACATTAAATGAAAGCTAGCAGAATAGCAAGTAAAGAAACTTAAAACTGGAGAAAAAAAGGATCCTTATTTGCGTGATGACAGCATAGTGAGTTTCAATCCATGGAAACATGTTTATTGCAGCCCCTTTGTCCAGATTTAGGGCTGTTCAGGATCCTCTTTGTCCTTCATTGACTTGCCTGTTGGCAAAATTTTGGGGCGTTTGAGGCTATATTGTTCAGCTCCTCCATCTTGGCTGCCATATGCTGAGCCTGAACCCGAATGCCAGCCCCGGCCAGAGCCATACTGATCACTTCCCCCGCCAGGACCATAACTTCCTCCATCCCAGCCACCATTGTGCCCACCACCAGGCCCAAATCTGCCTCCCGGACCATAACTCCCTGCTCCACGAGAACCACCACCAAATCCACCACCATTCCCGCCTCCAGGGCCATATCCATTGTCTGGTCCACCTCCATTGCCGAATCCACCTCCAGCCCCAAAACCATGTCCATCTCGAGAACCTGATCCTTGTCCACTCCCACCCATCTCTCCACCATAATGTCCATAACCGTTAGCCGTTAGCTTCACGCGATTTGCAGCCTCTTTAGCACGCTCCATGCGGTGCTCTTTAACTATGTCAGGATGTCTACTACCCAAAGTTCTCCCTGTTGGTTCAATACCATTAGCAGCCTCTTTGGCAAGATCCATATCAGTAGGATAATTACCGAAAGTTCTGCTTGTTGGTTCCCAGCCATTAGCACTCTCCTTGGGGTACTGTTTATCTATGCCAGCGTGATGATTACCCCAACTTCGCCCTTTTATTTCCACGGGATCAGCAGCCTTTTTGACAGGCTCCATGCGGTGCTTTTTCCCTATCTCAGAATGATGATTACCCAAAGTAATCCCTCTTAGTTCTGCGCCATTGGCAGCCTCTTTAGCATGCTTCACCGGGTTCTTCACGGGGTTCTTTTGATCTATGTCAGCACGATGATTACCCAAAGTTCTCCCTATTCTCGCAGCTTCCACGGCTAACTGATAATTCAGCCCTGGACACATGAGAACCAGGAGAACAAAGGTACACCATGAAGCCAGATTATGTTTTGCCATAGATTTTTCTAGGCGAGTTGCAAACAAAAGGAAGTTTATGGTTCACTCTGTAATAGCTCAGAAAAGGTGAATGAAACGAATTCAAAGGTTAGGCTCACGAAATGCTCAATAACATCAAGATGCTTTTCAAGATGAGAAGGTAATTCCTAACTGCAATTACTTAAGGCCAAATGGTATAGCAGCAGAGACCAAAATGTTGGGTTAATTAGTTGTTGGTAGCTGGCAGTTTCTCTCTGTTTATATAGAAGATTGAAGATCACTGCTTCAGGGCTCAAGGTATATGCATGTGCAACGTGAAGTATGATGCAGAAAGAGCGCATTGGTGGCGGTCGTTAGGCGTGGGAGATGGCCTTGGTGAAGATTGCAGTTTGCGTGATTAATATCAGAGTTTCCATCCCATGCAAACAAGATGCACAAAGTGGCAAGAAAAATGAGTGCCTTTCCTTTTTCTCGTTTAGTTTCTGCATGTGAAACCGGGCGGATCAGCAGGCAACTAACCAATATGTTCCCTCAAACATCAAGTCACGCCAATTCTAAAAGCTAATTTGTGCATTGCCAAGTTTTCTTTATTGTAGTGACTCTGAACTCTGATTTTCGTTGTACCATGAGCTTTGATCTTGTTGACACCAAAAAATATATAAAAATAAAGAGAATGCATCACTTATTCATAGAAGAAGAATCTTAGAGGCACATCCCATTCATCTATCAAGCCAGTATTTCGACAGACATTCGAACGAATTGGATTAGTACCTGCATTTTTCTTTTTCATTTTCTATCATAAAAAGAAGAAAGAAATATATAGCTCCTCAGGGGACTACAACATGCAGGGGAGAAACATAAAACAACCTCTATTACATCATTGGTCAACCAAGAACTAAATCCAGTCTAGTTAGGAGGGCCAAAACAAATCCCAAAATAATATATTGCAGAATTTTCGGTAAAGCGGAAGTATGGCACCTAAACGCAAGACTATAATATGTCTCATATGAAGAAGTTACACTAGGAAGAGTAATCAAGACTTCCAGCTGACTAAAACTTGTCAAACAATACAACAGTCAGAGGATACAGGGTCGTAAAACGAGCTTCATTCTGAATCCTCCAAGGCCTGACAAACAGGCAGGTAATAACTATCTAACTGCCAGTATCTATGTTTTACACCCTCCCAAGTTTTTTCACCTAAGCAATCTTTAACAGGTAAGGGTATCAACTGGGTAGAATAACCCAGACTCTCAAGTTCTAATGAAACCAACTGACAGTATACTATGTGAAAGAAAGGGTTGCCTCCACAAAGGCCATTGAAAAATGAATAAATCCCTCCAGGCTTCAAAAGTTTGGGAAGATGTTGATGAAACTCTCTCAGATCTTCATAATATTCTCCATACGTGTCAAAGAAAATCCCTGATCAAATTGAACAAACAGATTAGGGGACTGTAGAGACACCAAAGAAAAGAACTAGATTTTAAAAAAACAGTGTACCACACAAGCTTTTGAACTATAATAAGAAAAACCACATCCAGAACTTGAAGTGACTCAGAATCTACTGAGTTCCATCTAAGCTTCCGACAAACAGTTTTCACTTATAAGTTTGCAAGTTAATTCAGTCTCTCCATCAACCTTCAGAGAGAGAGAAAGAGAGAGAACGAAAGCACACACATTCCTAATGTATATACACTACTTCACTGGGGTTGTCAATTGACATATAAGATATCCAAAAAATTTGGATCAAAGACAGTGAGTTGATTCAGCCTTAAGATAATTCATGCAATAGATGTCTAGCATAAAATGTAAAAACTCTCTTTAATATACTTTCAGCCACATTCATCATTCAGTTGACAACAGATGCCTTTTGCAATTTATTCAACTTGGTTAGAGAAGGTATTTTCAGTTAATTTCTAGCTTACAAATCTGCAAGCAACAAAGAGCCAAAAACAAGTATCTGACTTTTTACCAAAAAATTCTTCATTCACCTATGAAAACAAAAATTATAGAATCTTATCCTTATCTAATAACCCTCAAAATGTGCACTGAATGATTGAAAAGAGTGTTGCAGTTCAGAATCTAACCGTCATAAGATTCGAACTGATCGAGCACATCCTGCCACCGGCCAAAAATGATCTTGACATTCTTCTTCTCGCCCCAGCCTGACTCTAGCATACGCTTATACACCTCTGGATGAGCTTCAACAATGGTATGACTAGTGGGTTCATACTGCTGTATAGCAGTATCCACGAGTCCCATACCAAACCCAACGTTTAAAACATCACCGCCCATGGAGCATACAGCTTTGGCATGAGCCTCCATCAATGGCTTCTCCCAAGCCATCATAACTGCTTTATTTTCCGCATCCATCAACTTGTCCTCACTAAAACTGATCCTGTCCTCTAAATACTCCACATTAGATCCTCCATTAGCATTTTCTTTCCTAGCAATTGTTCCCAACACCAGCTCAGCTTGGATCCCTTTTACATGAACAATGCAAAAACCGCAATCAGTTTCAGATCGTACCAGCAAATCAAGTCCAAATTAAACTATATACGGCCACACAAAACCACAATAATTCAGCATACAAAACAACCAAACATAAAGGACAGGATAACAAAGTCCAAACATTTGCAAGTAAACTAATAAAAACATAACGCTCCAATCGAGCAAAAATATGCTCCTATTTCTTGGACTCTGCTCAAAAATGGTAATTAAAAGCAGTTAAACGTCTTGTTCTCTTAAAACTTAAGATGTTCCAATAAAATGAAAGAAATGCAACATATTTTACTGCTAATCGTATTCACGCTACCGGCATAAAGAAGAACGTCAAATGCGGATTGGTGGCCGGCGTCCATTGCGAAGTCGCCGGCGGAGAGGTTGGAAGGGGATAGAGCATTCCAAGGGGCGCCGGCGTCGAGGAGGGACTGAACAACCTCTGCGTGGCCGTGCTTGGCGGCGTGCATAAGCGGAGTAAGGCCATCTTTGTCGAAGTAGGTGACGTCAGCTCCGGATTCTATTAAGGTTTTGAGCTTTTCTACGTCGCCGTTTTGGGCTGCCTCGCAGAGCAAATCTCCGTTCTCCATGGCAGCTTCTCGGTTGAGGTTTTAGTGGGAGAAGATTTGGGAGGTTTTCGGTAAGTAGAACGATTTTTTGTGTTTCTTTGCAATTTGCTATATTCTTTAATTAGTCCTTGCACCTTTAAGATATTATTATTAGTTCCTTATCACTCTATTTCTTAAGAATCAATTTATCATAGTTTCAACTTTCATCCACAACGAGTATCGGGTAATCTATAGTATCTATGTATAATATCCTACTATATTAGAAACAAAAACCTCCCTTTCAAACACCTCATATGATTGCCACGTGGCATGTAGAAAGTACTAAATTGCCCTTTTGTCTAACCATAACTAAATTACTAAATTTCCCTTTGCACTTTACGTGACACGTTTTTTTTTATTTTATTTTTTCTTTATGTTTCATTCAACTAGAGTGGTTTTTAAATTGAATTGATCAATTAGGTTTTTGTTACAAAGTGTCAACTTTGTTTTAAGCGTATACCCTTCGGATGAAGCTTATTACAAAACTATTAAAAATCACCAAAACTAAGTATTGATTTGGCACGACCAATGGAGAACATCAATAAATCATCTTACTAATATTTAAATTTATTAGGATGCTTTTATATTTTATCTAACATTTACTTCAACACATTTATTCGATTAAGGTTATTTATATTTAATAAGTGACACTTATAAAATATTTCTAAAACATACATGGCGAAATACAATTTTTTTTTGGTGTGAAATACAAATATTTCTATGATCACACTTATAAAACATTTCTAAGAAAGAAACTAGAGAGAGAAACAAAAAAGATTTCTAGGGGTGCCACATATGATAGGCATTTTTATAAAAATTATAAAAAAAAAATTTTATGCATTTACACTACAAGTCCTTAGGAATTTTTAGAAGTAAATTTTTTCACACCTATAATTTTAAATTAATGGACAGCTAAATAGAAAATAAAAATATGATATAATTAGCATCAATTAATTTGATCCGGATGGAGAATTATTCATGGAATATTTCTCCGGTGATCAAGGAATTAAATTGATTCAAAATTTAATGAGGAAAATTTTGAAGAAACAATATGGGATGATTTCCCACGGTTTTCGAAACTAACTATTTCTTATAAAAAAAAAATCCCTAGATTTGTTAAAAACCAATCAATCAACAATCCATATTAAATAAAAAAAAAAAAAACAATACTTGCCTTTAATTAGAACAACTTGGATGTTATCTACTAATGTGGCTACATTCATCAGTTTCAAGCTCACCGGTATCTGAAATATGGCAAAAAATCATCATCAATATTCTAATTAATGATTTGAATAGACTCAATCAATTTAATATAAAACCAACATATAATTGTTTTCGAGATTCCAAGATAATCACGGAATTGGAGTTAACTTGTTAGATAACCAATATAAATGCCACATTGGGTAGATATATTTTCCACTGCCAATGTAACCCTAAAAACAAAGCAGAAAATATCCTTCTCGAACCACAATATGGTGAGCTCCTGCGTGAATCAGATGCCTACTTCAACGATGATGTTGTTCCCATTGAGGCATAGACGAAAAAGAAGACAATAATGCCTAAACTTGGAAATTTATGGGAGTAGTTGAAGTTACATATTGAAGGATGGGGTTTTTCAACTTTTCCAATATCTAAATCTCACGGTTCTTCCAGGTAATAGGGGATTCTCTCACAACAATCTTCGCGGCTGGACTGCCGGAGACGATAGGGAATGTTTATGAATGAAATAAGGAGTTTGCTAGTTTTATTAGAAATTAGACAAAAAGCGCAAAACACTCACTGATTTCAACGAGTTAATTTTACTTTATTTTCTTTAAAATTTTGGGTTCGATGGGAGGGGAAAGGGGAACACCAGTCACTTAGATTGAAAGATTATCTTCATGCAAAATTGAATGCGCCCACTTTTATCGACTATATTTGCAAAAGTTAAGTTCGTGTGATTTCATTATATTAGGTTTGGGATGTAATCATTCACCACTTTTGGAAGATTCTACCAGCCATAAATCTACTTTGTTTTAATTCCTATTGGGAAAAAAAATTTCATGGTTTTTTTGAATAATGAGGTAACGTAATTTCTCCGAGATTGAGCATTAATATTGCCAAATTAATGTTCTCCTTACGTTTCAAAATAAACATAGTCTACAATTGAGATTATGAAAAAAATTGTGTTGTGTCTTTAAGTTTGTAATAAGCAAAATATATTGTGTAGATATAGTCTCTAAATCTTAGAATGACAGTACAATTTGGATTTTTATTTTTAGTATTACTTCATTTCAATTTTTAGTATTATAAATAAAAATCAAAAGACAATCATTTAAAAATTAAAATAAAGGGAAAAATAGATAAAGCTAAAAAATCATCACTACTGCAGACTCCTATAAAGCATTTATAATGTTTTCACTCACAGATTTATACCCCCAAAATTATCTACATTATCAACCTATAGTTAATCAAAGATTACGTACGTTATTTCTTTTCGCGTTTTGAGTTGAATTAAAAGTAATAATTTGGGTATGAATTTGACTTTTTTTCAAAAAAATATATACACATTAGTACTTTCGCCATGTGAGAAATCCTTTTTCAACGCCAAATTGATTACTTCGATTCGGAAATTCAAATACAAGGTAACCGTTAAGTTTTTTATTGCAAAACATTAACCGACTCAATTACCGGTGATATATAATAATTCATTTAATCACTTAAGAAAGTTCAAGAAGACATTAATCATTATGCACACGTTTCTTAAATGAAACTTTTTCGAGATTTTTTTATTGATATGGCAAATAAATACCAAATTTCCTGTTATATAAATACTAAATTTTCGGTTAGAGACAATTTGTATCAGGTTGAATTTTAAAATGATTATGCATATTATGAAGAAAATGAATACATGTGGGTAAATAATAATCAAATCTCCAAATAAATTTATACTATCTTTTTGAATTTTAAATTGAACGAATGATGATTATACTTATTTTAGGTAATATGTGGATTACATAATCAAATTTCGACAAATATTCCATCAAAGTTAATTAAAAAATTTGTATTTAATTACTAAATGAGAATCATGAATAAATTTTATGGTTTAGTATATGCCATTTTAACCTGAAATCATGAATTGAATTTTAGCATATTAACCAAAAAATATCAACATCAGTCTATTAAAAATTTTTAGACAACTAATAAAATGAATAAATATTTAAATAATCGATATCATCTATGCTCTTTTCTTTTTTTTTCTTTTTTTTTTTCAAAACACTTATACTCTATAATATAGGAGGTTTTTTCTTTTTGGTGACATTGGATCTTGAATTGGTCAAGTTATGCTAAACGTTTGCTTAGATGTTGGTATATTTTTGTATAGATACGCATCCAAGTTTTGATTAGTTTTATTTTTCAATAGAAGATATTTTTTTTTCTTGAAAAGAAGTAAGAATTGAAGTGATGAAATTTAACCTGAATATCATTATAACATGATTCAATAAGCATGAATTATCATAACCCGCACATCGTGCGGGTAACATCTAGTATATAATATTTGAATAAATAAAACCATGGAGACTACCGCAAGTGTTAAAAGTTTGCTTAGGAGCTATGTGTGTACACAAGGTAACTATGATAGAAGCAATCAAGAACATTTACAGAGTCGACTATTATTAAGATTTTTTTTTTGAATAATACTCCCTCCCGTCCTTATTATAAGGCATTTTGATTTTGTCTTATGTTTTACTTAGGATGCGTTTTTAATTTGAAAAAAAATTTTAAAAATATATTTTTATATTCGTCATGTTCTCTTAATTATTAGGAAATATTTTAAAATTATTATTTCAATTAAAAAGACATGTTAGTTAAAATTTAGGACAAATTTAGGACAAATCAAAATAGTTTATAATAAGGACCGGAGGGAGTACTTAAAAATGTCCCATGGTTCCGTCCCTACAAGGTAATAACAAAAGTTTCAATTATAAGATTTATAAATAGGTTAAAGGGTGCGAGTTAAGAAAAATATAATAGACAATGTATACTTCCAAATGGTCACGAACACGTGGAAATCAAGCAAGAAAATTTCATCCAACTTATTATAGACTAAATGTTACCCGCACGATGTGCGGGATTTATATATATATATATATATATTTATATTTACTATTAAAATATTTTTAAAAATATAAAATTTGTGAAATTAGAGTGACGTAATAGAATCATATGAATATTAATTATACATACATGGTTAAAAAAAGGTAAACATTGAATTGTACTTGTATAATATAATATTATGTATTAAAATATCATTAAAAATTTTCATGAGAAATGTAATAGTACCACAATTATGAATATTAATTGAGTAAAGAAGAGATAATATAATAATTATAAGAAAAGATAATAATGATTTGCATGCTGAAATGTTGAGGGGAAATCACTCTTTCGCGTCATTTTCACCACCGATGTTTTACTACCTTCGTTCTGGACTTCATGTTGAGGTAAAAGTTCCTACCATTCGGCATCATATCGGACTAAAACGTAACCCATAGCAAAAAGGAAACACAAACTTTCATTCATCTTAGTATACCTTCAACTTATTTGTTTTATTTATTTTTTCTCACCTGTGCATAGTTGCATTGAACAAAAAAAATAAAAAATAAAAAATGAAAAAAGATACAAATAAAGATGAAAAAAAATACTCCCTCCGTCCCATAATTATTGTCCACTTTGTCCAAAAAATTTTGTCCCAAAATTATTGTCTAATTTGACTTTTTATGGATCAAGTTACACATTTGTCCTTAGTAAAAAACATTATCCATAAAATCTTAGTGGTTAAACAATTACTTATGTAAGGGTATATCCGGTTGTTTAAGGTAAAATATAGTTAAGTTTGACCAAAAATAAAATCTTTCATTTTAGTGAAACTGGACAATAATTATGGGACGGAGGAAGTACTTTTCTTCTGGAGGTTGACATTGATCGAGGAGCTTGAGGTTGTTTGTATCAATGAAGGAAAGGAATGAGAGTTTTTGATATTGTGCATGCAGATTATGGGTTTTCGGTTAATATATATAATATTTTTATAGAGTGATTCCCACTATTGATGATTAATGGCTGGTATATCAATTTTAGAGATCAGTTCTACCGAGATTTCACAATTAAAGAATCACTTCTAATTTTGTAATAATTATTTTCGAATTTCAAAAAAGCATTAGTATTGTTTAATGATCAAACCAATATGTAATCAAACTAATCGGAAAATTTTTTCAAATCAATCAGTTTTAATGTTGAATTAAACAATCATTGATGATTTGGTATTTATTATTTTCGAATTTCAAATAATCATTAATATTGTTTAATGATCAAATCAAGACATAATGCTATTATTCAAGCCAATGGGATAATCTTTTTTAAATCAATCTTATTTAATATTGAAATTTTAAAAAATTTTCGTTTTCTTTTTAATTTTAGGGAATGCAAAATAGAAAGTTTACTACACAATTAATTAGTAGACTTTAATTAAGAATTGATAACAATTTCTTAATTGGAAATCTAAAGGACTATTAGTGTAATTATTGTAAATATTTTTTGTGTCAACCTATAAGAAAATGACACATAAGATTTTGTCTTATGTATCAACGGGAGGAGAAGTTTAATTTACTCTCTTTAGTTTCTCTCTTAATATAATAATATACTATAGACTAGAAGGATTGAAGGAAGGAATTCCAAAGTTATTTAGATAGGAGAGTAATGAATCTTATGGAATACTACTATTTAGAAGGGTTGCATTGCAGTTATGGAAACTATTGATCAAGTGAAAGCGTAACTCAAGCTGATGCATTTCAAACTCGTTTCTAAAGCGTGACTCAATACTGAATTTGACAGAATCATATAAATCAATCGTGCAATTTTTACTTTTAACACCAGTGATTAATACTCTTAACAATTAGTCAGAGTTTCCATATATACCTTTTTTTTTTTTCCTTTTTTCTTTTTTGGGTACAAAATTTACCTTGTCTTTCTTAAGTAACCTTTTATATGTGTATGAGTCATTTATGAGTACTAGAGATTATCCTTGACGATTCATAATGCTATAGCCATTAATTTGTCATCATCTAATCGAAAAGGAAAGGAAAGAAAAGAAAGGAAAGTAGAAAAGAAAACGTCAACGTGGATCAGAAAAATTCAAGAATCAAAAAGTGGGTTGCTAAATGCAACTTGATTTTACTTCGCACAACTTGTGTAATAAACTAAAATACCACTGAACCTTAAACTCTCTCAAATTCTTTTATACGATCATTTTTTTTAGAACTTCTCACAAGTTCTTTCATTATATTGTCAAAAAATCATTGATTTTTGATGGTTCACAATGGCGGAAAATCAAATAATACGAAAAAATAAGATAAAATAAGACATTGGCTTCTCAGGTAATTTTTTTTGCGAAGTTCACTTCCTTATTGGTGTGATCACCATTGTCATTTTTTGACAAATTTTCTTTTACAAGGAGAAATAATTTGTGCGAAATGTTATGGTTTTGGCATGATTACTGATTGGTGATCGTCTTTTTTTTTGCTAATTAGTGATCGTACTTTTTTTTTTATGTCATTTATGTGTCTTGATTTTGTTTCCTATAACTTGATTTTACTTTATGCGAAATTTTATGGTTTTGGCATGATTACTGATTGGTGATCGTCTTTTTTTTGCTAATTAGTGATCGTACTTTTTTTTTTTATGTCATTTATGTGTCTTGATTTTGTTTCCTATAACTTGATTTTACTTTATGCAGTTTGATTTTATTTCGTGTATCTTTATTTCACTTCGTACAACTTAATTTTACTTTGTACAGCTTCATAGGTATATTTTATTCTATTTAATAAGCTGCGCGAAGTAAATTTAAGCTGCGTTTAACAACACCCAACCAAAAATCGCAGGAAAAAACCCAAGAAGAAGAAGAAGAAGCGTCTTGTGTCGTTTTCATGGTGTTTGTTAGTCATTTGTACACCCAAATTTTGACCGCCCACCTTAATTTGCAATAATTGGGGATTTTGGAAGCCTCTCCTGACTCCTCCGCTTACCTGGAAATATCCCCACCATCCTCCACGCGCCACGACAGCTTCCAATTAATCCCCAAAGTCCCACATGAACAAAACCAAGATAATAACTGTAAATTACCCATATCCCCACTGTCATTCGATCTTTCTCTCCCATTTTTCTCGCGCCCTTTTATGATTCGTCCTTACCGATTTCCAGCTAACTCAAAGATTGGATGATCCGCAGATCTGTTGTTGCGGTTTCGGTTCAAAATTTTTTGTTTAATTAAATATTTCCTTCCATCCGGGGGTTTTTATTTTTGTTCGAAAGTCGAAACCTTTTGTATAATTGTTCATTCTGGTGTAAATTAACTTAGGATATCTTGTTCGTGAATTTTTTTGGTTTGAATTCGATAAATATGACTACCCAATTTGATCGGTGGGAAAAAGATCCGTTCTTTGCCGCTGCCGAAGAGGTCCAGGAATCTGCCGACAGGTCTGATCCAATTTTCAAGATTTTTTAGTTTTCTGTTTTGGGCCGTCATTTGAATTCCTATGCAATGTAATTTCTAATTATTGGGCATCGTATGTTTTAGATTGAATCTGGATTTATGTTGCTTTTGGTAAGTTTTGTGGATAACGGGTGCTCATTTTTTGGGGGGATTTTGTGTAACTTTATGTAGGATGGAGTCTACTTATAGGACATGGATTCATGCTCTCAAGGATACAGCCGGAATATGGAACAAAGATGAGCTACGCAGGGACCTTCAAACTGCCCTTGGCACTACTAAATGGCAGGTTTGTCACAAAAATAGCTACATTTCTTATATCAGCAATGATTCGGTGCCATGTTCTTCTTGCCCTAGCAGAATGTGGAAGAAAGATTTTTTTGGTACTCAATGTTTAGGAATACTTATATTCAATGTAGAATGGATTGTGATATTTTCATCTGTGTCTGTTGTGTCATACCGTTCTTGATTGAGGTAATTGTCGAGGGTATAGGATTTCTTCTTATTGGAACTAAGAGCATTCTGTTGATTTTTTGGAATGAAATGCAGTTGGATGAATTTGAACGAGCAGTTAGTTCAAGCTACACTAACAATGCTGCTGATGATTCAAAGGATAGACGCCGGGATTTTGTTATTGCAATTGGGAGTCAGATTTTAAAGGTTGAAACTTCATTAAATGAATCAACTGCTTCAAAGGGAAAGCCTCCGTTGCCATGGGTTCGCCTGGATGAAGGCGAAAGTGATGAGCTTGCTGCATTTCTCTCTGGACCGTCAACGTCTTTCACTGGTGACAGAAACTTTGGAAGGCTAATTGGTAGAGATCCCCATGTATTAATTAGCTCACATGAAGCTGATGATAAATTAGAGCCAAATGGTCCACTAAATACGTCTCATCCAATGGAGTTGATCCAAGTAGAGGGTAGGGAGGAAAAGTTGGCTGGGCACAGGAGAACAGCTAGTGCTAGTGCTGACATTGGCTCTTGGAACATTTCCATGGCTGAAGACGCTTTACCTCATAGTTCCGCTGATGTTCAGGCCGACCCACCCCCTCGGAAAATACCCAGTGTTTCAGGGTTTTTGAACTCTATGGAATTTGGAGCTAAGTTGAAATTGTCAAAGAATGGCTACAGGAAATTGAAGCTTTCTGATCGTCACAAAGAATCTGATACTCCATTACCACAAACTCAGCCACTGACTAGAGTGAGTAATTTGTGAATTTTCTTCTGCAGTATTGCTCAACTTTTTTCATACCTCTTGTTTCTTGATGTTCCTAAAGTTTCATATCCTGACTCTTGATGGATAATACTGTCTCTTGTAGGGTATCAATTCATGTTATGAGAGGAGTAAGAGTTGCCTTGAAGGTTGTGATGATTGTTATGATAAACAACTTTATGGCTGGTATGGAGCCATCCAAAGACAAATTCAAAGATCTCAATACCATATGCAATATAGTAGACCTCTACAAGTCATATTGTCAACTGTAACCCTTCTAGGTATTATAGGTGAGCCGGCACATTCTGAATCTTTTGGATTTTAAGGGAGGCTGTCATATGATTTTCTTGTGTTAGTGTTGTGTTGAGATGCTTACCGAGTATAATTTGTCTCTGCAGCTGTTCTGGGCCTATTTGCTGTCTAAGGAACAATTCAAGACCTTTTTGGATATGATGAAGGGATGCAGGGTTTCAGAATATGTTATACCGCCTGGTGAGGCGGTTAGCTGATTGGGACAGATACAAATTTGATTCTGTCAATCTAATCCTTTACCTGATTATTGAGAGTTCTGTGTAGCTTTCCTCATCATTAGGTTTTCCTGTTATACCCGCCTAAACCTCATTCATTTTGGTAATTGTTTAGGTAATATCTAGTCTAGTGGGTAAATTTTGTTGTAGAACTGTATATTGGGAATCATAGGTTTGTGCCACTTTCTAGATATTGTACCATATGACTAAGCCCATTTCTTATGCCCTTTTCTGTGGCATTGTGGAGCTCCATTGTATGTCATAGTTATAAAGAAATTTTCTATTTCTCAATTGTAATGATATTGATATAGCTCATGCTTATTCATAGGAGGCACTCTTTTACAGGTGGTAAGGTTCTCTTTATATTTATTCTGTGAATATTTGGTGTAACGCAATGTTAAATACATTAAATTATCTTCTCATTAGTGGTTTTAGAGTGACAAAGTAGTTCCTTTCACAATACATGTTACTGTTCCTTTTCATAGAACTCCTGATTTAGTAATGAACTCCTAAGCACTTCTTATCTTGCTTAAACTTGTGTTTATCCATTTTCTTGTGTGGGGGTTTATTTGATATGTGGCATTCGTGGTTTTTGGATGGTTGTATGTAATCTAAGCCCGTTTCAACTTGTTTTGATTCCGAAATCTGGGTGTCATACATGTTCAATCAATTGATGATGACCAATTAAAATCATGTATTAATGAAAAGATAACGACTTGGTTTATGTCCTTGGCTTGTTGCAACTTCTTTTAAGGAGCTGAAACCAGGAAAATGTTTTTTTTTTCCTTTTTGTATGCCTGCTGTGTTTGGATGGTGACTGTATGTAGAAATTTATGGAATCTCTGGATGTGTTGACTGGATTGAAGGACTTGTTTTTATCTGAAGCTGAAATTCGTTTTAGTAGCTTTTAATTTACTTAGAGATTTGGTTTTTATCTTTACGGGGCCTAGAAGTTCTCAAGTTCTAAAAGTTTGAATTTACGGAGACAGGTAAGAAGTTTGTTCCCATTCTTTTGAGCTATAAGCGGAAGTGGAATGCCTGAGATTTATCTGAAGTGTGGCAGCTGGTAACTTCAAGCTTGAAGTGGAGTTCTTTGACTTCTTTCTCAGTGGGATTTACAATGTGGGGTTAAAAATTGACAGTGAACATTGCCATTTATAGAAACTTCTACATGCTACTACTGAAGGGGTTTAAAGTTGCTTTCTTGATTTCAGTTGATAATTCAATGGCTGCTGTTTCTTCGTTTTTTTTTTTGTGTGGAAGTGTGGATATGTTCTTTCCCTGTAACTTTTAGTTTGAGATGCAACTTCAACCGAGGGTTCCTTTGATGTCCTCATTGAAGGGGAGAAGATCTTTACTGGAACATGGATAAAACTACTTTAGTCCTTGGCCAGAGATGCAAGATCAAAATTGGCCGTCAGCGTGGATTCAGCCAATTCTTCTGAACCGCATAAGCATGGTGAAATTCAACAAGCTACAGAGTACAGATGTTTCTGTAGTGCCTGCAAACCTCAGATTTCTACGAGTATGCTGCTAGAAGTTGGATTCAGCGGTAAACCAGAAGGAACAGAGTACTGTATGAAATGGAAATAATCAGGTCCGGTTCACAAGGATTGCTCATTTCATGGGAGTTTTGAAGTTGAATAATGAGATGAGACACCCCAATTCATGTACTCACTATAGCTAAAAAAAAAAATTGTTATATTTTATAAATGCATATGTTGTGTGAAATAAACTTGATCAAAAGTTGAATCTTCCAGAAGCATAATAAGCACATAAACTCGCCAATTATTCATAGGTAGATTAACTCTTTGCTGAGGATTAAAACTCCCTAATAGGCTTTGATTACATATAAGTAAAAAAGGCAGTAGAAATTCCAGAGACCAAATGATAAGGTAATTAAAGAGGAAACCTCTTTGAGTCCATCACTCAAATCAAGCACTGATAAGTAAAGTAGGAGAGTGCAATTGCCAGTGGAATGAAATACTCCAAAAACACTGCGTATTTCGGTGGTGGATCTTCCTTAATCAACACAGCTTTCATCCCTTTAGCCTTCTTGGGATTACCTTTTTTGCCTTCTCCATCAGCTTCAACATCCTCTTGGGCAAATTTGTATCCTTCCAAACGCCCAACTTGGCATTTCAAGAGTAAAGCTTGAGCTGCTTTTCCATGTCCAATGGCCTCATATTCCTCCGTTGCATCCTTTCCAGCTTGTTCAATCAAGACCTCTTCTCCTCCAGGGTGTTCTCCCATGAACTTCGTCACGTTTATCACCTGTAAATCGAAAATGCACTTTGTTATATTCGAATGCTCCTCATTTTTCACACTATTACTGAGCATCCATTCATGCTCAAAGAAATGTCTATGATCAGTATCTATCTGGAAGTATTACTTACTCTGCCTTTGATGACAAGCCAGCAGTCTTGCTTAGTTTCGTGTTGCGCTACCTGAGATAGTGTAAAAACTCTATCTTTCTCCATTGCTTCAGACTCTTTCAATAACTCAGAGCTGCAAGTCTAGTGGGCTATTTGTGTTTTGGCTTTTGAGACTGAACTCGAAATGGAATACTTATAGGTAGCCAATGATGGCTTACATCACATACACAACAGAGGCAGAGAGATATCTTTGGATGGTGTAACGACATTCCTCGTGAAGTCATGCTGCATCAAATTTTTTTGGTTGGGTGCTTTGAATGGTTGTTGCAGACTTTTAGGAGTGGAGCTCGTAGGAAAGATCATACACGGATATGGCTTTAAATGGAATTTGATTCTCTACCCTTTCGAGTTTAGACTTTAATGTCGCCAATTTTGTGCATGAAACTAAGAAGTGATCTTTCAGGGTTAAGACTAAAAGAAAGTTACTGAGGGGTTACGAGCTAAGATGTTGCAGACGATGATGTCTAAGTTTTTAGATATGTATTCCACAAAATACAGTCCCAAATACATCAATACAACCATCATCATCGTCATCATCATCATCCTCATTATTATACTCCCTCCGTCCCATAATTATTGTCCAGTTTGAGTTTTCATTTTTAGTTCAAATTGTACTAAAAGTGAAATCTCAAACTGGACAATAATTTTGGGACAGAAGGAGTATGTATTATATGAGCACGAACATCGACCGGCTTATAATCAAATATCAGATTTTAGGCATGATTTTTCAAAGAAAGACAGCAAAGTTCATGTTAACGAATCACGTCGTCGGCCCTCGAGTTAGTTTGGTTTTGAAAGCCATGTACCAAGAAATGAATGACACCGCAATCAGCTTCCTTTTGGATCAAAACATTATCAGCAATGGCCATGTACTCATGTGTCAACTAAGATAGAAAGTACAGCTATTTTGAAAGGTATAGGAGATATATCCATTACATCACAGTCACAATTCAACATGACGCAATGTCAGGTTTACAGAGTGGAAAACGACCAACTTATGAACGTAGCTATCTCAAGTGCTGATAGTTCTCCGTCCCACTAAGGCAATTTCTTAATTTTCAATTTTTTTTTTCTCATTGTTATTTATTTATTTTTTTAATAGAGATTCTCTATGCTAAAAGTTAACTCAATACAGAACCTATTGATCATAAAGACATTTACTGATTAAAATGCAACGTATACAGCAAAAATGAAATGCCATACAGGAAAGCTTCAGCAATCTAAATAGGGTGACTATTCAGTCATTGAGATGCATGTGCTTTCTGCACACTTTTTGGTACACCCTTGGATTCACTAACTTTGCTAGAATCCCTATTATCAAGTTCTACTCCCTCAAATGTGACCCTTGAGTTCCGGTACTGGCTACCAAATGCGGTACCAAATCCCCATCCAAGGCCTACGCCAACTCCACAGCCACCACCTACAATATCAGGAAGAACTTTGTTAGTCCTGAGTTAATCACGAGGTCAAAGAAATAAACGAAAGATGAGAAGGATTTATTACCTGCACCAAGGCCCAAAATATTCAATGGCATGCCTGAGGCCAGGAAAAATTTAGTTAAAACTTGGAAAATGTCTGAGAAAGATCATATACAGCAGAAAGACAATCACAATTGTAAATAAAACCGTTGGTTCTTTTAGATCAAAACCAGAAACCTAATATATCTAGACATAGACAAAAGGACATACTAAATCCATTACATTCCATGTAGAGAAGCAAATTTAGATATGTTTCTGAGTAAAACTAAATCAATTACAATCTGACAGCTAACTGAAGGGCAACTATGAGCGACAGAATACATATTTTACCAAATAATTCCTTCGTAGATCTTTGTCTGACCGCAGGATTATCAGATTTTGATACCTAAGGGATAGAGCAACAAAAATGTGAACTCTTTCATAACCGTTTAACTATTGAGGAGTGAGAGAAAGAAACCACCTCACTAGTCATATATGCTCCCCAAATGTCTGAGCTTCAAGAATTCAATAGAACGACAACAAAAAAAGAATTGTGAATCACAAGTAGTTCTTGTACAACTGAATGGATCACTAAAGCGAAGTTTGAAGGCCTTCAACAAATCTTAAATGGAAAAGTGACCCTAAAACAGAATCAGATTTGAATCCGTTCACTTGGAAAGGCAAACAACAATGTCGAACCATTACTATTCTGCACATTCTGACTTCTGCCTTCAAGAAATTGAAACCTATTTGAGGCTGATAACAAGAATATGCATTTCAGCTCGCAGAGTTACTACAGCGTTTTTCTGTTCTGCTTACATGAGGGGCTAAGCAAACATATTAAATGGGACTTTTAAAACCCTTCACAGAGTTAACATCTAAGACACGGGTGAAGACAATTACAAAACTTAAGCATTAACAGGCATGGTGATTGTTTTAGCAAGAACTAAGGGAGACCAAAACATTCACTTTAACAATGCTAAGCCAAGAATTATCCCCTCCAGTCCTATTTAATGTTCAAATCGCAAGGGACTAACTTTGTTTAAATAATAGTGCCGGTCAAATCAAACTGTAGATAAGATAACCATTGTTCAACCAAGTCGAAGGTAAAGATTCAAACATTCAAATAGCACAAAAGGCAAAACCGCTAGATAGCTAAATTAGATTTCAAGGGATTCAAACTGGAATGATTCAAAGGATTCCCAAAATGGCCAACCTAAAAGCTGCTGTATGTATGCATTCGAGCGCCCATTAACAAAATACTATCCACAAATTTTAATTTAATCATCTCATTTCTTAATCACGATGACAGAATTCGGACAAGAAACCCAGGAAGTAAAACTCAAAATATAACAGAAACTCACCTCCAAATCCCCAACCGACGCCAAAACCACAGCCAACGCCAAATCCTAAGCACACAAAATTCCAAGTATAAATGAGTGTCTTAATGTAAGAACTGAATTTGGAAGAAGCAAAAAAAAAAAAAAAAGAAAAGAAAAGGTTAAATGTGATGATGGTACCAAAACCCACTCCAGTTCCGTTGAAATTCTTCATTGTTTTAGCTTCTTCAGCTTCAAGGATATCGAATCGGCAAAGAATCAATCGCCCAAACAGTTGAAATGTACTTTCTTCTTTAACAGAAAAAAAAAAGAAAGAAAAAAAAAGAGTGGAAGAATGGGCTTTTACATATTTTAGGCTTTTGTCATGCAGCCCAATCAAAGATATTGGATGGAATATCATAGACGGCCCGCTACTCGGATGATGTAGTCGTTGAACAACGTGCTAACTGAAAACCTTAAATCTTTTGATCAACTCTCCTACTCATCGAGTTGCCTACCATGAGCGAAGGGGATTTGTCATTATTACTAATGGTGGATACCCTGCAATATTAAAAAAAAAAAACTACGGAAACTCCATTATTTCCAAAGGAAAAAATCAATTTTCCAGTGATGACCTAATTATTTCCAAAGTAGAAGCTGGAGCATTTTACCTAGGTGGGAGATACTTTTATTGGATGCTTGGAATTCAAGGATATTTTATGTTGATTTGAAGGCAAAGAGAATCATAGAGAAAGAGATACACTTCTTCTATCTCATTTTTCCTTTCAAAAGTTTATATTAAACATCAAGTGTGCTAACAATAATGCTCATCATGCGACATGGTAAAAACTCGAAAAACTAAAGCCGGTCTACATATATATATATATATATGTGTGTATGTAGATCATATGTCAAATTTTTTGTTTGGAAGTTTCTTCATTCGGAATGATCTCCAGATCATGATAGGAATGCTCTATACAAGCAATCTACGAACATTTGCAATGAAAGGCTATTCGTGGGCCTTAATTTACTGCCTTTTCCAAAAAAAAATCTTAAAAGTAGTGTTTGGTTCCTATTCGCAGGCTAGCTAATGCGCTGCAGGTGAAGCGAATTCGGGATGACTGCATTGAAAAATGACGAAGCCTGGAATTGTGTCGCCGGCTTTATAGTGAAACTCCAGTAGAGTTTCCTGCAAAATAGAGTTTCGGGGGTCTCCTGAAGGTAGACACTCCGATGTTTAAGTCAGAAAATAGGGTTAAGGAGATATCTGTATTATGCAAATTGGTGCTAGAGATAGCGTACCGTCATTATGGAATAATCATCCTTATTTATAGGCCTGGATGATCTCCGAGTCCTACCAGGTTTGGTGTTACTTAACCGCCTTAGCAGAGTTGGTTGGGCCCTTTACTCGGCGGATGAGCCGGTCCAGTCTTGGTGATGGATATGGACTCGTCAAGTGCCCCTATCAAGTATTAATTATATGAAATAAATAAGACTTGATACAAAATAGATGGTACTTGGACCTGGCCTAAGTTGAGTGAAAAAGCTTCGGCCCATGTTCCATCGAGCAGGCTTGACGAAATATTTCGCGGGTCAAGATTCGACCCGAGAATATGAGAAGGCGACCCGACATGGAATCCCACCTAAATGGGTGCAGACATGCCCCATTACTCCGCACGTTTCCCAAATGGCGGCCTTTGATCTCCTTCAAAATAGAGAAACCGTCACATCGTGGGAGTCTATAGCTCTTTGATTTTTCCTTTTAAAATCCAGTGAGAGAAGATTAGTTCCCCCATTTCAGTCGTCGAACCAAAACACAAAAACTCTTTCTAGTTTTTCTCTGCCTCCGTTCCAAAAGTAGTCGTAACTTCCCGGGAGAGGCCATCTCGAGATTCACTATTCAAACGCCGGCAATCCTTTTAATTGCCTCGGATATTTGTCTCTACTGCCAGAACACTTGCAGAAGCCGCCGCTAGAACCTCTGTAATCCTGGGTGGCTATAACTCAAAAGGCGAGTGGAAACCTATTCTAGCAGTAAGTTCCCAGATTCCCACATCTCTATTTCATTTCCAGCTCTTTGAATTTATAGATCGATTTATTGCTGTAAGTAGATAGCTATGGCTAGGAAGACGAAACCTGCACAAGGAACAAATGAGATATAAGGGTTAGTAAAATCCTCACCCTCACCACACTCTGATTTTCTCTCTTTGCGTGCATTTTTTTCTGTTTCTATGTTATTTTCATGGTTTTCTCTTGCCTCAAGTCTTACCTTAGCGTGACCCTTTTTACTTTCTTGCGTCACTCTCTCGACTTTTTCTCTCCCTTGTGTATAGGTTATCTTACGTCTTTTCTCTCGCACAGATTCAGCTTCTTCATAAGCCAAAGGCTTAAGAATATACTTTCTGTCCTCTTTAGTAAAGACAAAGATATTCTTCGAGCAATGGTGCACAGCATCTACATCTGATTGTCAAGGCCTACCTAGCAAAATATCATAAAGAGACATAGGAATTACATCAAAGTAAATTTCATCCCTATACTCACCAACTTGAAAAGATACCATGACCTTCTTAGTGACATCCACAACCATCTCTTCATTCAACCATTGAAGCTTGTATGGTCTAGTATGCGGATCCATCTTGATTCCGTTTGCTATGCAAAATTCCTCACTTATACAATCAGTACTCGACCCACCGTCGATTACTAAATCAACTTCATTGGACCACCCAACCGAACACTTAGTACGAAAGATACATGTCCGTTGATCACCATCTTCAGCGTCAAACACCAACCCCTGATCCTCAATTGGACCATTCCAACCACAAGAAGTATCATGCTCTCTCTCCACTTCTAAGGCAGCATAATATGCCTCATAGAGTTTTGATTGCCTCCTTATCTTTGGGTGTTGTTTGAACCCCTTGCCTCCTTCACCTCGGCCAAAGCATCATGCAAGTAGTCAATTTGACTCTTCATGAGCTGCACTTGAGCCTCCATGCGACTCTCTACACTCTTTGAAGCAACTTGAGTACAACCAGCAACTCCGGATGACATCTTTGCTCAACAACTCTGAGAAACCACCAACAAAAGAAGTAAAGTGCCTTTGTGACTACACAAAGACTCCTTGAACCCTAGAACCACTGTTTGGTTCGGCCGAAACCCCCCCCCCGCCCCCAAGAACCAAAGGAAGATTCGAATAAAGCTCTCCCCAAAAACAAAAACTCTCTTGTGCTTTTAAGAATACTAATTCTCAAAAATTCAGAATAACGAGAAGAGTGCTTCTCTTGTTTTTCACTTGTGATCTCGGCAGTAAGAAAAAGAAGAAGAATGGAGCAGAGTGGTGTGAGAATTTTCGAAAAACAGCACCCCTATTTATAGCCAATGCAAGTCTTTTTATGCAAGAAAACTCCTACAAGATAGGACCTAAATTTTCTCAAAAATATTCCCCCCTTTAATGGATGAATTCTGCTCGACAAGATGGAATAAAGAAGAAGGAAAATCGGCTACATATATATAGACAAGGATAGAGTCCTAAAACTTAGGTAAACATAATCCTTTTTAGACACAAATTAGGAAAATTCATCCCTACTTATTAGAGATAAAATTTTCGACCCCCTACTACTATTAGTAATCAAATACACGGCCACACACATGCATAATTGTATTAGAAGACTCAAAAATTTGCAGATTAGGAGAAGACTTCCTTATCTCAATAATTTTTGAAAATAGACTCACTTTAAAACTCTAATTATAATCTCACTGAAATTATAATTTAAAACATGCAAAAATTAGTATTTAAATCCAAGTAGGACTCAAATAAAACACACAATAAAATTGTATTACAATTAGGGAACAAAGGCTGCAAATTTTCAGCCAATGTGAACACAAAAATCCAAAACCAAATAGGACTCAAATCATAACACAATTTGGACTCAATGATCTTAATTTTAGGGCTAAAATTTTCGGTCATGTGAACACTCTATTACAAGACCGAATAGGTCTCCAAGTGTAACACAAATAGACAACCACAATTCAAGTTCAACTGGAATTAGGATACCCTAATTTTTAGCTTCACAATTTCGGATATATTATGACTCTAAAATTCAAAACTAACTAAGTTTAGAATTCCACATAAACCACACGCACACACATGCAATAAGTCAGCAAAAATTTTGCTATTAACCTTTTACCACATAGTTAAAATTTAAAAAATTACTTTTGACTCACTTTAAGAAGGAAACTTGAAAATTACCACTTTCCAAAAATGGACAACAACTTTTAGAATCTTTCTAAAAACCCCTTTCCAAATTGTATATGGAATTAACAAAAATCACTTTTTACCAAAACAATCTATGGCAAATAAAGTAACAAGAACACCATAAGTATAATGAAGTTGGAAATTAAAGTTCCTCATTCAACTATGACATTTGCTTCATAATACTCAATTTAACACAAACCATCCTTAAAACTCAATGACTCAACAATGCCATCTTCATAAGTGACCATTTGAAAATCAAATTTTCCAAAGACCAAATATGTAAACTTCAAGAATATATCTCAAAGCCTATAAGATTTTTTGTTATAAATAAGAAAATCTTTAGTAAAACTTCACTCAATTCTCGATTTAACTCTCGAATAAGGTTTTAAACACAAGTCAAAGACTTCAACCCTTAAAGTTGGCACAATTCAACTTCAAAGACCTTCAAAACATTTGAAACCAAAATTCATTCTTCATCAAATGATAAAGAAAGTTTTGAAACTCAAGTTAAGAATCATGGAAAGTCCAATGATAGGAAGATCCACTAATTCAACTCATTCTCCAAGTTAGGCCTGTTCATTCGGGTCAAAATAACGGGTTTCGGGTCAAGAGATTCGGTTATTCGGGTCCTTGGGTGGAAAACGGGTCGACCCGAATCAAAGCACACTGTTATCTAACTAACAACCCGAATAACTTGTTCGGTTATTCGGGTTTCCGGTCGGGTAATCTGGTAAACCCGATGTAAGTTTCAGCAAATTTTTTTTTTTTTCAAACTCACTTATTGCAGCATTTTTTTTTTCCTTTTGGCCCATAATTTTAAATATCCTTATACTCATCATCCAAGTACACTAAAAGGCACATAAAAATCCAATTCAAAGAAATATTACAATCTCCAAAATAAACACATAAAAATCCAATTACAAGAAATATTACAATCACCCCCATGGTGTCCTTGAATTTAGAAACCCAAATTTCAGATCAGGAGAACCAATGGCAACCCTTTTGTTCTTGAAGAATTAGAATGACTTCAATGGGCAGCTTCCTGCAACTTCATCAGGAGCTCTAAGTTCAATCTGACAAGTAAATATTTCCTTGGACAACAGTTTGCCAAAATATCCAAGAACAATAAAATGAGGAAAAAAAACTATTCCATAGAGATAGATAAGTTAGGCCAATTTGGATCACAAACACTGTCACAACATAAGGCAAATTATTATCCACAATACTGGCGGTTCTCATTTATCAGCTGAAGACCACTCTGCTAGTTGGAATGATTAAGCACTTTAACAAGTTTTGGACAAAACAATAACAGGCAGTATACTTTCCATCATTCCGGCTTCTGCCGCTCCACCACCCATGGCAGTGTTGGTGTGCCTAAGTGTTTGTGTCTACTCATACATTCAACAAATCTAAAATCTAGGACAAATATGCTACTCCATTATCACTCATGCATTGCTTTGTGTTTGTAAAATAATTTAAGGATATATAGTAGAGGATACTTGAAGATGCTGTTCCATTTGTGCAAGATAATAAAAGCGCAAGAAGCAAATAATCTGTCTTGGAAAGACAGAATCCAAGAGACGAACTTCCGACTCCATATCGGCATACGAGAGTCACCAAGCGGCAACCTTCGACATGACTCTTAATGTGTTAGTGTATATGTAAATTTACAGTAAATTGTCACTAACTATCAAACAAAGGCAAACAATAAACCAATCTAGGAGGTAGCATAGGCTAAGATTTCACTCCTGTTGTTCAACTCCATGAATGATAGTTGAGTAAAATCACACTCAAAGTGCATATGAATTTCTGGGCTCAAACCAGAATGAACCCACATGACAAAAATAAGTCAAAATTTTTTTTTAAAAGAAAATAATTTCAGAAAAACTAATCATTACGAACGAAGTTAAAAATAAACTCACCGTTTTTTCAGAACACCAAGCCCTGCTAATTGTAACTATCTCCCAGCAAACCCTCTCAACACATTTCCTGAAAAAAAAAAAAAAGAAATGAAACAATGGTTAATCTTCCAAATTCATAAAACCATGTTCTATGTTAAGTCACACCATACAAACAATCAAAGCATAATTCATCATTCAAATGTACTTTGTAAGCCTTGGGAAGCAATATAGATCAATAAATCTTCGTAACAAATACACTGTGCAAAAAGACCAAGTATTGCAACCAAATAAACGAAAGAAATACTTCCTAGAGTGAAAATCTAACATTAATGAAGGCATCTTTCACATCTGTTTCATCAAGGATCACTAAAAATTTGGCCAGTACGGAATTAAGTGCCTTAAATTCATTACAGAAAGTGCGAGTTATAAACTGAAGCAAATGCAACAAACAAGGTGAGACATTCTGCAAACACTACAGAAAGTGCACTTCTGAACAGTAGTTAATGGGCTTCCTAGCCAATGAAACTATTCTGCAATGAAGCATTTTCAGTAATCAAAATTCTTCGTGTGTAAATTCTTAGTGAACTTTATGTCAAAGTGACATAATTCATGATTGCAACAGACTTGTATTGACCACAACAGGTCAAAAAAGGCACTTTCTAAAAATCGAGTATCTCAAGTGCTTTGGCAGATAGAAAAAAAAAAAAAACAGAAACAGCTGTTGGAAACAAATAACTAATTCAGGAAATTAGGCAGGGAACAAAAAATCACTGTATCGTCCTAAGGGGATTTTTCAGTTCAACAAAGGAAAAGCAGACTGCCAATAAAAATCCTTAACATCTGTACAAATGCAGCTTGAAAGTTTCAGGCCGAACCAAACAGATGCAGCAATTCAGAAGATACTAGCCCATAGTATTAATAAACACCATCATCAGACATCACAAGGCATCAACACAATCAAATACAGATCACATAAAATATACTTCAAAAAATTAATAAACACCATAGTATTAATAAACACCATTATCCTACCTCTCGTGTAATGGCTTAAAATGCTTCTTTAAATCGAAATGGGTTTTACATTTTCGGCCACATACAGAACAAATGTAAGGCTCAGAAGGAGTGGAAATACCTTGGTATGACTTCGAAGGTGGAAATACCTTGATGTTTCACCAATTAGATGTTTCATCTAATTGCCTTCTTCAGAACAAACAGAAACATCTAATTGCCTTCTTTCTAGCTTTGCTGTGACTTCGACGGTGGAAAAAACAACGGAAATGGAGGTAGCTGGCATGGGGAGTCGGTGGCGCTAGCTTGAAGCGAAGAACTGAGTCGGCCGGACTTCGGAGGCAGATCGCGTTAGATCTTAAAATGAGAAGGATGCATGACCGATCACCCACAAAGAAATTAGATCTGACGTTGACTGAAGAAGAGGGTCTAAGGCCGGCGATGAGATCTGGAGAGACGAATGAGATTGGGGAGACTGAAAACGGGAGTCTAGAATTAGATTATTCGGGTGGCGTTGATAACTATGGATGTCCAGTTCGGGTGGCTTAGAATATTTAATTCATTTTGGTTTGTCAAATTCTAACCAAAAAGACCAAAAGCACCGAACTTCATTTACCCGAACCTAATCAAAATAAGTTCGGGTCGGTCGGGTCGGGTACAACCCGACCCAATGAACAAGCCTACTCTAAGTATAAGACTCGAGAAAACAAAAGACCCAAAATTTGTTACTTTTGAAAAAAATCTTTTGACACTAAGATTTAAACAAAAACACAATAATAAAAAAAGAATCGGAATTCTATGATATTCTCATTGATTGAAAATCCATAAATTCCATTTTACTCATTAGATTCAAATGAGAACCAACAAGAAGGAAGTCTTTTTCATTTATACTTTATGTAGAAAGTACAAAATCACTAAGCTTCACCTTTTAAAGAATAGATCCAAGATATTTACCACAAGATAAACTCTTAAATCCTCCTCATGTAAAGTCATCTCTTTAGAAAGAAAAGGCTATCTCGAGCAAGAAGCTCTTCTTAGGCATCAATTCTCTCCTTAAAGATCCAACACATAAGATCCACGAACTTGCTCATAGGAGAAACAGTTCTCTACTTGCAAATCAAAGATAAATTTCAAGATGTAGCGCCCACTTTGACTAGATACCAATGTACCATCATCAAGCTCTCGCATAGACCCCAAAATAACACCACAAGATCAAACAAATGTGTAAGAATTCTCGCACAACCACACAAAAGACAAGATCAATTTTGAAAATGTAGTTTTCACAAGAATTTGATTTATTTTTTCAAAACCCATTCTGCAACAAGAAGGAACCTTGAAACAAATAAAGATAGTACTACTCGTTAGTAGCACAAAGCTCGATTACCACACCAAGTAATGGATTCCGTGGTAACTCAAGATATTCTCGAAACCAAAAACTATGAAGTCCTCAATCAAAAAGAAATCTCTCGAAAATCAAACTGATAATAGAAATTGATATGATAATATCAATTAATACCATCACTAAGATAGTCCAAGCTCTGATACCAGAAACTGATAGCAATCTCGTAGATGAAGCAAATTTCGTTAATGCAACCATCAAACAAGAAAGTACGAAGATAATTTGTCTATCCTGTGAAACTCAAAAGAGTGCAGAAAATTCACAGTAAGACGATCGTTTATCTCAAGATTTCTATCTCTTAACTTAAACCAAGCAAAGAACACATTATCTATGAAAGATTCAAATTAAACAACAACCCACACTAAGAATCGCAGGACACCATTCAACATACTTGATCAGTCATCATTCAAGAGACTCAAGAAAGGTAGAGCAAACAATACTCAACTATGAAGGAATACTATTGGTTAGTAATCTGCATAACCAACAAAGATATGCAACACATACACTATCTCAAAATACTTATGCCAAAGCACAACTTATCCAACAAAAGTAGGACAAACCCCACAATGGAACTCATGAACAGACACATCATGAATTCGAACACCTAGCCAAAAGAAAGGCTCATCAATCGAAATACTAGAAGTAGTATGAAAGTAAGAAGTTTTGTTTTAAAACAATTCTATCAAGAAGCATACTTGAAAAAGAACGGTTTCTGCAAGATCAAAAGATCCAAGACATGATGAAAACCCTCTTGGTTAAATCATACTTGACACGAAAAATGGACACTCCATTTAACAAAAATTTCTCACAGGAAAAACTCTCAAAAGAGACAACAAAAATGACCACTCCAGGGTGCTTTTGAATTTCGGCCATGCCCCCTATTTATAGGCTAAGAAATTCGGCCAGCACCAAGAAAAGAAGATAAATTAGGACTCTCTAATCTTATCTCACAAGGAGTAGAAGTAGAAGAGTATTTGATCTCTTTGACTCTATCTAAAATCTAGGAAACCTTATCTAAATGACTTATCCTCAAATAGAATAATATCTAGAAGGAATCTAAGACTCCTAATCAAAATACTCTAGCTTTATTCAGCCCACATGGCTTATCTAACTAGATAAAATTTTGAAAATAACTCCAAGACTTAGACAACCTCTAAATCCAAAAATCAGCTCCAAATTATTGAAGTAAAATGTCTTGAACGCCCTTCCAAAAGTGAAATATTGGTCTTGCGCCCCTCAAGTTGTAGAAAACTCCAATTTACTCCGAAACTTATAGAATTCTCTTTATTGATTCCAAAAGATTAGAAAAATACTTGAAACAACTGAGATAGTTTGCAACCTATCCAATTGTGTAACAGTGGACTCAATCTTGAACACTTTGATCAAATAGGTCGTCTATTCAAGAACCTAAATGACTCTTCTCACTAGCTTGATCAATGATCTTCATGGAGCACATAGAGTCAAACTCTCTTGATACTCTTGAGCACTTATTTCCATGAGGTCATCATCTCCTTTGGTTTGAACCCCAAAGTTAATGACATTCTCATCACCTTGATCATAGCTCTCTTAAACCAACTCCCTATCACATAGGTAGTCAAGATCCATCATTTCTTCCTTGATTGACCTGCAAAGTAAACTTGACATTCCAAAACTGGAATGAAGGACTAGTTCATTCCCCTCAATAGGAGAACCTCCATGGAAGGTTACATGATTCTCATCAATTTCACCTCAAAGTAGCAGATTTTTTGAATGGGTTAAGACCCTGAATGAATCCGTTTCGCATGTCTCTGTCATCGAGGCAATCAACTTGGAGAGTTTCTTGGGTGAAACGACGGTGGAAATCAGAAAAGCTCTCGTTTTGTCCTTGTTTAATCGAGAAAAGGTCGATTGACATTCTTGTGATCTGCTTGCTTGGAAAGAAGCGTGTGGCCACCTTGACTGACAAATCCTTGAAGCTGGTAATACTTGCTTCCGACAACTGCCCAAACCACCATCGTGCCTGTCCAGCAGGATAGGATGGATGGGCTTTAGCCATGAAATCGAGTGATGCGTTTTGGATTCTCATGACTTAGACATATCCATGCAGGAATTACTGTGGGTCGGAGTCTCCTGAGTATTTTACGAAATCCCTGGGGAAGTCAAAGTCCCGGAGTTTTGGACAGTCACGAATCCTTGGTACGAATGGACTTTTGTCAACAATCATCCCTATCATTCTTCTCATTGATTCTCGAATGGACAGGTTTTGATTGCCATATTCCCCCTGACGTCGAGGGACATAAGATTCTTCTTGGGGGCACCGTTCGGTGTGTCGAGGTTGAGGTGATTGTCGTGGGTCGTAATGGTCGTTCAGGTAACGATCTCCACGAGAATAATCTGTACCTCGAGGAGGTGCCCGACATGCGTCATCATTATCAAGGTGGGACCTTTCCACAGGAACTCTGGGTCCCAGACGAGAATGCATGTTAGCTTTTGGTGGGGGGTTCCAGTCTCTTCCAGACACCATGTCGATACTAGGTGAGTCGTGGCAATGATAGGTATGAGACTGTTTCTGCGTTGTCGTTCCTTGGCAAACTCCTCGAGTGCTATCAAAAAAACAGGGTACGCTCTTCAAAGGAACCCCAGAAGGTTGTGCTACGACCAATTGATTGTTCTTCCCGAGAGGTTTCGCGGTTAGGGGTCTCCCTGTAGGCGTTCTCGGTTTCCTCGCTCGGGACTTTGAGTTTGTCCTTTTTCTTTTCGAGCAAAGTCAACATCCTGCGTGCCTCTTTCTTGTCGATTAAATCTTACAATTCTTGATTCGTTGGGTCGGGTTGACCGAGCAAACAACGGTGTCGATATTTTTCCAACATGTACTTTTTTTCCTCTGATTGAGACTGTTATCGTCTCGCAACTTTTTGAGTTCTGCTTCGATTTCCGCCAACCGTACTTCATC